TACTTTATTATCGTACCCTTATAGATCCCTTATCGTAACCCTTATAGACCCCTGTAAAGGAACCCTAGATGCGACGCCTCGGGAAAAAAGACTCTGAAGCTCTGAAGGCCCCGGGCGTTGATGGGCGGATAGATCTGCCTGTTGTGCAGGGATCGATCCACGAACACCTGGCAAACGCTGTGGGGGGAAGGTCTCTGGGTAAGAAGGTTTGAGGGTTCGGGGGACTCCGGAGTCTGATGTGCAGGGCTCTTGAATTGAAGGCTGAGGATTTGCTATCCTAATGCTTCAACGTCTTAGTCTGGATGCTCCAGCTGCGGGACTCCTACAAACAACCCCCGAAAAGCATGCCAAAACTCCCGAAGCAGCTGGAACCGGGGGGATATCTGAAAACCCTGTGCCGGCTTAGCCTGTCCCTCGGTGATGTAGCCGGTCAGGTCAGGAATCGGGTGAGTGATGTCCTCGGAGAGTCGACATAAAGAAAACGATCACCATCGCCAACGCCAACAACAGCACCACAACTACTGCCACAAAGACTGTGGCGACTGGTTCTTGCTGAGGTTGTGAGTAAGACTGTTGCCAGCACTAATGTTGTCACTACTACTTCTCTGCATGCTATTCTGCCCGCTGGCTATAGACTCTGCGACTATGCAATGGCTGTGACTCTCGCCATCACGCTCCTTACACTAATCCCTCAACCCTAAACCCAAACCAACAAACCCTGAACCCTAAACCCCAATGACCCTAATTCCCCAAACCCCAAACCCTAATCTTACACTAATCCCTAAACCCGAAACCCAAACCATCAAACCCTAAACCCTACTGACCCTAATTCCCCAAACCCCTAAACCCCAATCCCTACACCCTGAGCTCACGGGGACCCTGAGCCCCAGGCATCGTTGGGCATGGTCAAAATGGGGAACTGCGTGATTGAGCCATTGCCTCGGTACTGTGGCATCGAGTATACATACTAGCAATAGTGATACTAAGAGGAAGAGGCAAAACAAGAAAATAATAACAATAGTTAGCAATAGGAACTCATAAAAAGTAGTAGTAGTAGTAGTAGTAGTAGTAGTAGTAGTAGTAGTAGTAGTAGTAGTAGTAGTAGTAGTAGTAGTAGTAGTAGTAGTAGTAGTCGCAGTAGCAGTAGCAGTAGCAGTAGCAGTAGCGATAGCAGTAGCAGTAGCAGTAGCAGTAGCAGTAGCAGGAGTAGTAGTTGTTGTTGTCATACTAATAATAATAACAATAATAATAATAATATAACAATGACCCCTCACATACTATAGCATACTCCACGAACCCTGGAACCAACTATGATGTAGCAGCGAAGAGGATACAACCACTACACTGAGACGGGTCCCCGACGACCCTCGACGCGGCCGGCTCGCTCGTAAATGGTGGACAAATCCTCATTTGCTTGGCTGTGCCATGAGTTGAAGGGATTAGGGCCTAAGCCCTAAACCCTAAACCCCAGACCCTGAAATCGAAGCCCACGTGTAGAAGGCAGCTTCCGGGTGCTCTTGGTTCGAATGCGAGTAGGACTCCATGCTCAGAAGCCCCAGAATGAACAAAAATCCCCTTAAGCCCCTACAACTCTCGTCCTTCACTCCTGCACCTTAGCCGCCAAACACCACAACTGCGGAACCCTACATGGCATAGGATATAAAACCATGCAGCATAAAATACAGAAGATATAGTCTGCAATCTCTTATCTGTCACCCATAAGCTCTAACTTATCATCTATAATATAATATAATATAATATAATATAATATAATATAATATAATATAATATAATATAATATAATATAATATAATATAATATAATATAATATATATATATATATATATATATATATTGGAAAACACACATAGGCTCTGAAGCCCTCGACTGGGGCGCCAGGCCGTGTACCTCGCGGATGGCCGTGCGGGCGGGGGGAAAGCAGGGCTTCCGACACGAATAGCACAGGGGGCTTTATAAGTAGTGACGGTCTAGGGTTCCCTAAACCCTAAACCCTAAATGTTGTAGAAAAAGCTTTCGGGATATGGAGGCGTAATGCCAATACGAGGCGACTTCAGAGAAGGCGCGCGCTGTTCAGGAGGTCGGGTATAGAGGACTTGAGCAACAAGCTTGGCCCGCAGATTCTATGCTCATCACCGGCAAGATTTCCAGCCCTCTTTCAGCCCCGGGGGGTGCATGTAACCAGGATATCCTCGGCGTCCTGGCACCTCCTCACGAGCAGCTGACACCTGCAACAGGCAAAACAGCCAGCACAGAGGGGGTCCCGCTTGAAAGGCTTTCCTTGAGGACGCCGTCAGAACCAAAGTCTCATGCCAAGGAGATTGTCGGGCTGGTAAGGCCTTCGCAACTCTGTTTGCATCCAACGACAAAGTCTCGCGGAGCACGCTTCAAATGTGGATGGTGAAGCGTTCCCGGCGAGAAACACTCAGAATGAGCTGGAGACTGTCTCAAAGAACATTCTCGTTGATGATTCCTTGTAACGAGAAGCACGCAGGAACAGCTGGAATGTCAAGGGCTCATGCAAGGTTCCCTACACCCATGTCTTTCCATGAAACCTCAAACGTTCTGCCCGAAAAACAAGCCAAAGCTTAGAACACAAAACCGCCCCATGCATTCCTACAGATCTGCCGAACACATTGGCACCCAGGTCGCCTCTCGAAGAGCGTCGGCATAGGAGCTCATGTCTGTGAGGATGACGAAGACCTGAGGGGCGCCGGTTCTGTTGCTCAGGAGCTTAAGGTCTGGGACATAGGGTTGGGTGTCAGGTTTTAGGTTGTTGTTGAACTTGGAGTGGGTTTGGGAGACGAGGTTTAGGCTCACCAGCAAGGCTGCCCGTCAATCACGCGAAATTCTCACGTATTTGCCCCAAATCGTTAGACCATGTCGAAGGAAACGTCGGAAGACATGTCGCATCTTCGAAACAGTCTGGACCCTCTGAAATGCCAAAATCGCAACGTCTGTCACAGCCCGGCACGTGCTGCTCGCGCGTGTACCTGCGGCTGCGTTGTGTCTGAGACGCGCCACAGGTTGTGAAGCAGGGGTTCAATCGTAGATTGATAGGAGGTCCCAAACACAAAAAAACGCTATTCTGCAGCCGGAAACCTTAAATGTTGAACGAGGCTGACACTAGTAGTAGTAGTAGTAGTAGTAGTAGTAGTAGCAGGAGAAGGAGGAGGAGGAGGAGGAGGAGGAGGATAAGGAGCAGCAGCAGCAGCAGTAGTAGTAGTAGTAGTGGCAGCAGTACTGGCAGTACAAGCAGTAGTAGCAGCTAGTAGGAGTAGTAGTAGTCGTCGTCGTGGTGGTGGTGGTGGTCGTGGTGATGGTGGTGGTGCTGGTGCTGGTGGAAGTAGTGGATGTCGAAGGAGGAATTAATAGGAGAGGCAGCAGTAGCAGGAGAGGCAGGAGTAGCTGGAGCAGTCGGAGTCGGAGTCGCCATGACAGTCGTCGTCGTCGTCGTTGTCGTCGCAGCGGTAATATCAGCAGCAGCAGCAGCAGCAACTGTAGTAGCAGCAACAGGAGCCGTATGGGAGGTAGAGCTAGTTGTTGTAGTTGCCGCTGCTGTTCTACGAAGGGAACTGCAACAAAAAGCACGATGGCTGACACTATTGCTACGACGGCGACGAAGACAAATATGGCGACAACGACACCTACCAGCACCCACACCCTTCACGCCCACGACTAATCACTGCAGACAGGCAGCGCGAAGTACTCTGCCGTAGTCAAAGCCAAACGGGGCGTGACGATTCGCTCGATGGTGGGATCCTGAAGGCTCTGGGATGCGGCGGGCGTAATATGGGGCCTTAAAAATTAGAACAGGGTTTTGGGGCCCAAAATACTACAGTTGTAAGGGGAACCCCAAAACAGTGTAGGTAATTATTAAAGTTTAAAGCCCTATATTAGGAGCATTCGGAGGCCTGGCCTTCCATCAAAGCAGCTGCAGAATCCACAGACTTTCAGATTCGGGTACTCGTGCTCTACGCCCCAAAAATCGAAAGATTCAGTCTTGAGCTCCGGGCATTTGCCAGGTTCATGAAGAGCACGACGTTCTCCATGGAGCCGTTCCTCAGACTTTCAGGCAGACGTCTTTGCCTCTAAGGGTGTCAACTGTAGATCAAGGTTTCGGTGGATTTTAGACTCCCTAAACCCTAAACCCTAAACCCGTTTCCAGGGTGTGGCCCCTGGCGCTTCGAAAGTATGAGTCTCGGTTCCTTTGCAACAGCTTCATTTGCTTTCTCCTTGCTCTTCTGGACATCGAAAAAAGCAGAAATCCTAAGCCCCGGGGCCGCGAGTGCTCGTTTACGGATACTAACAATACTATAATACCTATAAGACTATAATAATTACAATGGTAATAATCAAATAATGAACACGGAGCCCCACATGACCGACCTTGTGGTCCTACGGTTGCCCATAAAGTGGGCCATGAAGAAGGGCACAAGCTAACCCGAGGCTACTCGGAGAGTCAGCTACCGGCAGAAGAAGGGTTTCAGCTGCGATAGATCGTTCTTGAGTAGTGTATAACTAATATAAGAGTCTTAACAATTAGAAATTGGAATGGGGCTTGGGGCTTGAGGGCGTGTATACTGCTAGAGCTCTTTGTCCTGCCCTGTCACTTCCGCTCCGGGTATTACTTGCTGTTAGCTTTGTCAGCGTCAGCGCTGCCATTTCTGGTCGTGATCTCGGATACTGGATAACAGCTGATCATCTTTGCGGATGAAACTGTTGCCATGGGTATCGATGTTCGCCGTGATTGGTGCTGCTGCTACTGTACTGTGGCTTTATTGGGTTTGCCACGTTAGAAGAAATTGTTGTGGCTGCTATTGCAACTGTTGTTGCTTTCGTTGTCCATGTCGCTGCTATTACCAATGCCGTGAATGAGAGAGTGTGTGTGCGTGTGTTCACTCTTATCTCTCCCTCCAGGCAACACATTGACTTGGGAAGTCGTGTGCTTGCAGATGGGGCGACAGCAGGTGCCGTGCAGCTCACAGAATGCGCTCCAAGCGATGCATGCTGGGCACAGAGTGATCGTGCAAACACTCCACGAACCAGCCGCAGGTCTCTGGTGCCCAGATGCTCCCTGGCATGAGTTTGGATAGACGCTGCATCAGCAGGTCTGCATGTGTTACAAGCAGCACGCACGCAGTGGAGCTGGATTCTTTGCCCAGGACACTAGAGGCAATCGCCGCTCCTGCATCTACCCGAAGTATGATATCATCTGCAGTTTCGTTTAGCACAGGCACATTTGCAGAGCGATCCCAGTGAAGCCGCAAGCCAGCACCCTCCGCAATCGCAGCGGCCTCCTCGAAGGGCATATAGCGCAGGCCCCCTGAGGCCTCCAGTCCTGCCGGGCCGCCGCAATCCCGAGCCACGGCAGCCATCAGTTCCCCCAGGCGGTTGTCCACGTGCAGTGCCTTCACGTCGAGCTCGTGGGCTGCGAGCACAGCCGTCTCCAGGCATCGGCGGAAGGGCGAGCTCACCACCGCACACACCGTCACCCCCTCCGGCAATTGATCCTTCAAGCACCTGGTGGCCTCCACAGGCAGCTCCTTGTTGCAAATCGGCGTGTCGTAGGGCCGATCGGAGGCATCAGGCCAGGTGCGACCCTCACAGTCCAGGCGGTCACTGTGCCGCATATATGCCAACCAGCGCAAGCTTGAAACCGACGCGGCCTCTCCAGCCATGTCCCCTTTCCACACGAACCAGAATGCGGAAATAATGCAGAAATAGGAATCCTCAACATCTAGACTTGCACGTGTGCACAAAAATGTTTAAGCTACTGTAGATAATCATATTCACATACACATATCGATGTACATCATTGAACAAATCTTTACGCGGAGATACAGTCTATACATGTATATATATATATATATATATATATATATATATATACATATATATATATATTCATATTTATATGTTTTTACAGTCATATATTTATGTTTTGATTTATCTATCTAACATGTGTTTTCACATGTGCTTGTGAAGATGCTCTTGTTGACAGGCTCAGGCCTCTTGGCAGAGTCCACTTCCAGGCCCCGCAACAGCCAACGAAGCTGCGAAGACGAAACACAGCCCCAAATGATTTAGGGTTTCGCCTTAAGGGCAGAAACTGCTCCCGGAGTGGCGAAAGGTGCCAACTGCCTTTTGTAGGATCTGACGTTCTGTAGGAAGCAGTCAACGAGTCAACGAGTGAATGAATGAAGGAATGAATGAATGGATGCATGAATGCATGGACTCATGGATGCACGGATGCATGAATGCATATAGTGAGCGAAGAAATGAATGAAAGACTGAACGAATGAGTGAAAGAGTGACTGACTTCATGAATGAAGGAGGGAGTGAAGGAATGAAGGAATGAGGGAATGAAGGAATGAATTGAATGGATGGATGCATGGGTGCACGGATGCATGGATGCATACATATATATATATATATATATGAAAGAGTATAGCGAATAAATCAATGAAATGATTGATTTTGATTTGATTCATTGAAAGGGATGGATGGATTGGTGGATGAGTGAATGAACGAATGAATGATTGACTGATTGGATGCTGGATTGATTGGTTGATTGGTTGGTTGATTGGTGGATTGGTTGATCGGTTGATTGCATGATTGATTGACTGATTGGTTGGTTGATTGCTTGCTTGATTGGTTGATTGATTGCTTGCTTGACTGATTGAACACAAGGACGGACGGTTGAATGGATGGGTGGGGATGGATGAAGGGATGGATGAATGCATGAACGAAGCTTTCGGGAGTTTTGGGGGCATGTGATACTATGCCTATAAGAAGGAACTCTCGGGATGGGCATTACTAGTCTTTCCGACTCAGTTGGACTGCAACAAATCTCTCAGGTCGGCTCTCTTCGAAGTCGTTCCTGAAGAAGCGTGCTGTCTCCATGTTGACACCTGAAAGTTGCTGGGACACCATGGTGTCTCTGGGTTGGTTTTGCGGGATGTAGAGATTGGGGTTTAGGTGTTGTGGGGTCTAGGGTGGGGGGGTTGAGGTTCGTGTTCCGAGTGAAAAATACGTTCTGGCAATTAGTGCCAACGAAGTGCGCATGCATTCAACGGAGACGCTGATCTACCCTAAACTCCCAAAGCTAAAAGCTACGCAGCTACGTGCAGGTGTGGTGTCACATGGCAGTCTGCGGGGGTCCAGGTTGGGGTCTGCGAGTACAGCCTTTTCGGGTTTAGGGTTTCGGGTTTAGAGTTTAGTGGCTTCATGTTGATCTCCCCGTGGGGTGTGGCTTTCCATCACCGGGCAACCCGACCCATGGCGCCGAATACGATGCTAAAATTCTCCTGAGTATGGTCCATCACCTTGGCACAGGCAGGCTGTATGTCGTGACCAAACCTTGCTAAGAGTTTACTCTGCTTTTGCGTGCTGTTGTAAGCATAAAGAAACTGTGTCTCCGGCCAATCGCCTACTCAACCCAGCACGAGCGCTACGGATCCGTTTCTGTAGAGTTGGTAACTTTCGGGATTTGTGGTTTGCGATCGTATGACGTCTGTGCTTTCCTGTCTGGGCCATCAGGCATTTTTCTGGACCTTGAACAGCAGTTTGTCCTGCTTACTCCTAGTCATGCTCCTGCTCATACTCATGCTCCTTGCTCAAGCTCTAGCCATACCCACACTCATAGTCATGTTAATACAACCAGTGATCGTAGTAGTAGAAGTAGTAGAACTAGTAGAACTAGTAGCAGTAATAGTAGCATCAGTTTTAGGTTGGTAGGAGTAGAAACAGCAAGAGCAGCAGCAGCAGCAGTAGCAGTTGCAGCAGCAGTAGCAGCAGCAGTAGCAGTAGCAGGAGCAGGAGCAGTAGCATGCCGAACAATGCCAAGAGAAACCACGACTGGCCGAGTAAAGTTTCAGGATGCTACGGCCGATGTGCCCAAAGCGGGACACGGACTGAAACACACGTCCTTCCTCCAAAATCTGTCGGGCACCCTCCTGCCAACAAAAGCTGAGTCCTGGACATCCTTTCCCTTGACCAGCGATGCCTGTCGGCACACCTGCCAGAAGCCGAAGTCACTCAAGCATGCCAAATCGGACTGCTCCCTTCACTTGGAGAACTTCAATGCTGCTAGCTGCAATCCCGATCCACTTCTCGACGCAACAGAAGGTCACTCCCAACGAATTGGTAACACCCTGTGCAGACTGAAATCGACGGGAGCAGATAGTCGTGCTGGTCCCAGTAAAGAAGTCGTCGCATGCGGAGAACAGCATGCCAGTTTCTAGCAGCAGTGGCATCATAGCCTGCTAGTCCATAGCAATGGAAGCAAGCCATCAGCATGGCCGGTGGCATTACTAAACGGCTGTCGGGAGTCACAAGTACAGTTGATGCTGTTGCTTTCTCCGGTAGCCGTTCAAGAAGAATTCTCCACACTCGTGATGATGGCAGCGTCCGTGTTACATATGTACACGGACCAAGAGAAGATCTCTAGCTTCATTGGTGGTTTAGGATTTCTAGTTTGGTTTTGGTGTTTGGAGACGTTCTTGGGGCTTTGCGCTGCAGTCGGATTTACCCCCAGCTTTCAGTCTTGGTGGTAGTCGCGCTACTTCCACCAAGGAGCGTCTCGACACACTGCAGATACCAGGCACAGCACGGGTGTTGCGGTGTTGGTTTTTCTCTTCTTTGAGGGCAGTGAGAGGGAGAAGGCGGGTTTAGGCCCTTAGGCCCCGTGCTTGTTAAAAAGCCAGTGCCATGAATCCTAGATCCCTACTCCCCCAAGCCCCGAGACCTCCATGTTGTAAAACCCAAACCTCTAAAAAACCCAAACCCCTAAAACCGAAACCCCTAAAACCAAAACTCCTGAAAAAACCCTAAAGCCCCTTTAGATCCCTGAGCCCGAACCCTAGCCCAAAACCCGTCCTGCGCAGCAATCTCGTTGTGAGGCAGACCGGCGGCCTTTAACGGTTTAGGGGTAGGGTTTGGGGCTTTGGGGCTGAGAGTCTGAGAGGTAGAGGGTTTAGGCTGCGAGGGCGTCGTAAGGCCTCCGTGTGTGCGTATAAATATATATATATATATATATATGTAGATATACACATACAGGTGTTTTGGCTGGATGTTGTGTACGGCTCGGCAAGGGCTTCCTAGGGGATCGGGATCTGGGGCTCAAGGGGTAAAAGGCTCTAGAAGGGTGTTGCAAAGATCTTTGCCGTGTCCCGGGCTTCATGCAGAATTAAGGTTCTGCGTTGGAGGGTTCTAAAGGGAACTCCAGAAAGTTGGAATATGGTTTCAGGGTAGGATACCCTATAATTCACCATAAAGGGGTTAGGATAATCATATTCCAACTTTCTGGCTTTTACCTTAAGCTGAAGCCTGAGGAACATCTCAGCTTGCAGCCAGTCCTGACATGACCGCCTATGAGATTACTACAGCTGCTGCTGCTTCTGCCACACTACTACCACTGCTGCTGATGCAGCTACTGCTGCTACGGCTACTGGTGCTGCTACTGTTACTACTACTACTACTACTACTACTACTACTACTACTACTACTACTACTACTACTACTACTAATAATAATAATAATAATACTACCAATACTACCACCACTACTACTACTACTACTACTACTACTACTACTGCCACTGCTACTGCTACTACTGCTACTACTGCTACTACTGCTACTACTGCTACTACTGCTACTACTGCTACTACTGCTACTACTACTACTACTACTACTACTACTACTACTACTACTACTACTACTACTTCCCCTACGGCCACTATTACGAGGACGACTGCTGCTACTGCATCTGCTGATGAAGCGGCTTAAGGTCGTTTGAGCCCAAGCCTCAGGACCCGAATCCTACCCCTACCACTCAAGACTGTGGCTCCGGACAGAGAAAAGTGGCAGCTTCTGCCCACGCACCACAGAGTTCATGGTGTCGATGGCACTGATTCCAGTCCTCAGCCAAACGTTGGCGGCATAAAGATGCAACGCACAGCAAGGCGCTACGCTATGAAACACGTCAAAAAAGACCTGAAATTACGTTGAAATCCTCAATCAAGCCCTAGAAAAACTGAAATCTAAACCCTGAGTCCTAAGACCTGATCTCTCAACCCGAAACCGTGAACGACCTAAACCCTGAACTCCAAACTTTCAACCAAAACCCCGAACTAGACCCTGAACCCCAAACCCTAAACCCTAAACCTTGAAGCCTCCACCCTCTTCCCTAAACCAAACATAAGCCCTAAAACACCAGAAACCCTAAACCCCAACTAAACCCCGAAGCCCTAAACGCCGAAACCCTAAACCCCAACTAAACCCCGAAACCCTAAACCCCTAAATCCTAAACCCGAGAACCTAAAACCCTGGACTTGGACCCTCCCCAACCCGAAACCCCAAAACCCTAAAACCCAAAACCCGAAAAGCAAAACCCCTAAACCCTCCTTAAAACCCAAACCCGAAGTTACAAGAAAGCTCAACCCTTATGGATCCCTTCTAATTAATTAGTAGCCTCTAAGAACCCTCTTGTATTATAGAGCCCTTAAGGAAGCTCTCTGAGGGCCAAGGCTGGATCATCTCCTTCGGGTAGACGCGGGACCTCATTCGGGCTCGTTTTTTAGGGTTCAGGGCTTGTAGGGTTTAGGGCTTAGGGCTTATACGGTTTAGGGTTTAGGGTATAGGGTTTAGGGCTTAGGGTTTAGGCTTTAAGGCCTAGGGGTTTAAGGGTTCAGGGTTCAAGGGATAAGGTGTTGGGGCTTTAGAGGTATAAGTATCTGAGGCTCGTTGGTTTGAGAGATTGACCATGTGAAGTTCTGGGCTTACGGCGTTTGAGCTGAGGCTTCGGAGTTTCATTGAAACTCTAAAACCATTTTTTGTAGCGCAAGCAACGTGAGCTTGGGGACCATGCTGGTCAAGCCCGAGTGCACCCTTAAACCTGAAACCCACCCCGACTACCCGGCGATTACTTTAGGGTTAGGGTTAAGGGTGATTACCCGCGTTTTGTTCTATGCGAAACCCTAGACTCTAAACCCACAAAAAGGCTCTTGATCATGAGCCTCATGGCCTTGGCATCCGCAATCTTGCCAGACCCTCGATCAGATACCCGCAATACTTCGCCTCGTTGGTAGCATGGTCATCGTTCAAGGGTCTCTAATGCCTAGCGTTCAAGGTTTAGGGTTTCAGCAGCGCTGCCAGTCGTGCCATTGTGCTACATAGCCGCTATCACACGCTCAACATCGTCAACACCACCCCATCATGAGCCAGGCCACTTGGGATTCAGAGGCGCCCCGTTGATGTCCAGAAAATCCTCTGCCAAGACGGAAGGCCTCGATGTTGAGTCTGGGAGGTACTCTAGGGGCCTTATTCATTAGAATAGGGTTTTGGGGCGCGCTAATCGATAATTATAATGAAGCACCACCAAAATAGTACAAGTATTGGTAATCATTTCGGCCCCTATATCAAAACTACTGCGGGAAAGCTGAGGGCTATGCCGCAGGGCTGACATGCCGGTATTGCTCTTGCTGTTGGTATCACTATTCTTGCGATGTGTACGACTGTCCGGTAATAACGATAACTGCCGATATCATCAGCATGATCATCACCATATCAGTAACAATGCAAACAGATGCGACCATGACAGGAACCGTCATATAGGAGCAATCATGAGACAAATCGATCAAGTAGTGACACAAGTAAGAACAAGAATAGCAATGAAAGCAGAAGCTGTTGTTATTGTTATTCTCATTCGTGTGCTTATTCTCGTTCTCATTGTCACTTCAGTTGCCATTGCGACTATCGTATGGCTACTGCTGCTACTACTACTACTACCACTACCACTACCACTACCACTACCACTACTACTACTACTACTACTACTACTACTACTACTACTACTACTACTACTACTACCACTACTACTACTACTTCTTGCTATTATCACATATTATTACTACGTACCATTGCGATCATTGCTCTTAATATGCAGCTTCGGGGCCCTGCAATTTCGAGTTGCTTGGAGCTCAACCGGACTACGCCGCAGGGCACAACAAATCCTGCATAGCTTTCTTCGAACTTCGGGACCTTCGACAGTAGGGCCTCAAGTTGATGTAGAATAGGATTCCCTTTAAAAAGGGTCTGTAAGGGTTACTATAAGTGATCTATAAGCTTACTACAGTATATGGGGCCTTAACAAGTAGAATAGGGCTTTTAAGCCCACTATTGTTCAGGCCCCTACATTAGGGCCTAAAGTTGAGGGTTCAGCACACTGCATAGGTAACCTCCATTACCGACAGTACGCTCATGCGATAGTGGTTGTCTCATGAGTAAAGGTGTTTTAGCCCCCTGAGACATCCTGAAACCCTAAACCCCTAAACCCTAAACCCTGAACGCTAAACCCTAAACCCAAAAATTCCACCACAAGCCGAGCCACCCCTTGTCGATGGGCTTTCCGGAGCCATTGAATGCTCGGCCTCATGCGGTCAAATGCTAGGTTTTAGGATTTAGGGCTTACGGTTGTAGCTTTAAGCAGAGGATCCTTATGGAAACGCCGCAAACAAACCAGGCACCCTACGCCAAACGCAGGATCCTTCTTGAAAGGACCCCCAAACAAAGAAGAAGAATCCCCACGTGGGCTCGAAAGTCTTTTCATCGTTGGCCAGTGGATGTGCCTGAGTGGGCTGCTTGCAATGTGGATGACTGCTGGTGGGCCGACTGTTGCACTGACAATGTAGGGGCCTTAATAATCAGAATAGGGTTTTGGGGCCCATTATACTATAGCTCTAAGCCCCTATATTACACATGTGCCCTACTCACTTATCTGGACGGGCCATGACAATGCCACAATTGCAAGCTTCATTGCGGAGCACTCGCTTCAAACGGCGAGTGCTGTGTACTTACGACACATTGCCGCATAGGGCGAAAAGTTGCTGAAGCCGGATACCACAGACACCTTTGGCGTGGGGGCCTCGGTCTTCTCACTCCTCATCCACTTTCCGATCCACGGGAAACGATTTGCTGCAGCCGCTGCAGCCTCCTCCCTCTTCTTCTTCTTGAGGGCAGCAAGCCGCGACTGGCAGCGCCGTTCTTCCGCTTGCTCCGCCTGCTCCTGGCGAAGTTCAAGCCTGGATTGTAGTTTTGGGGCTCTGAAAAGTATTTATGAAAAGGTACCTCTACAGGAACCATAAGGGAAAATAAAAAGTTTCCCAAACTGCCACCTAGAAGCAGAACTTTTTCAAGGTTCCTGAGATGCTCGCCGTACTCGGCTTCAAGCTCCTCTTCTGTCCATTCCTTGTTTCCACTTGGCGACGGTCGCGTCCATTGGCTAGACTCGACGCCGTTTTTCTCCAGGAGGCTCGTTTCGGGGATATCGGCTTTTGACATCGTCTCTTGGTGTGAGATGTCGCCTGTGGCCAACCGCACAGCTGAAGGGATAGGCATGATCGATGACAACTCCAGGCCTTCGTATGACAGCTCCAGCTCGCTCATCACTCTGGCTGCCTCCTCCTCGTTGTCATCCTCCTGCTCATCGTCGCTCTCACTGTTCATCGTGAAGTTCCTCGTCTCGTCCTCCCCCTCCTGCGCCGCTTGCGAAATCTTGGCCGCCATGACCTCCGCCTCCGCCAAGACCTTTCTCTCCACCGCTTCCTTCAAGCGCTGCTCGTAGGTCTTCACTTCTGCCCGGAGAGCCGCCACCCTGTCCGACTCGGTCTGCACGTCAACCACGAGATCTGCCTTCTGCGCCTTGCGCAGCTCCCCCTCTTCCTTCAGCTTCCTGGCCAGCGCCTGCTCGCTCTGTTTCTTTCGATCCTCGTTGCGACAATTCTGTCGGAGAATATTGACCTCTTCTTTCTCTGCTGTAAGATTGCTGCGCATGGCTTGCAACTGACAGCGATACTTGGCGATCTGCTTCGCGGTGCTGGCGTGAAAGCTTACTGACTCTTGTTCTGTCTTTTGTCTCCTCCTCCTGGCATGGTCTCTCTCCTTCTTGGCAATCAAGATCTGCTCTCGAAGCCTGCTCGCCTCGGAGGCCATATCCTCCAAGCGATCCTCGTCAGTCTCGTCAGACGAGGATTTTAACGGGCTCGGCTTCTTCTCAACATCCGGTGTGAGTGTGCTGGCCGGCGGAGCCTCTCCTGTTAGCGTCCGCAGCCGAGGCAGCAGCTTTTGTTGTAGTTCAACTCCAGCCACCATGACTTGCTACTCTTGCCTCTGATGAGTCAAAAGTGCCGCGCAATGAAGGGTGCCTCAGCCAACAAGCCACAAAAGTCGCTAAACTGTGTGTCTCACGCAAAGTGATCCGAGCAGTTGGCCCATGAGGTCATCTGAGATGGGCATCTTCAGGGTGTCGCCGGTGAACTCGATGTGGCAATCCCTGTGCCCAGAGATTCCGGGTGAGTGCTTAGGGTTTCGGGCTTAGGTGATCCTGACAAGAAGTCTCAGCGGAGGACCTGACGTGGCCCTTGCCGCAAGAACTCCTAACCTACGGCCTGCCAGACCCCGAGCCACGAGCCTGTTGTCGATGTTGCTGGTTCCCTCGAACACCTGCACGATTGCCTGGCGGTTGCGGAGCTGACTCACTGGAGACATGCCGTAATCTACGCTAAGTCCTGAAACCCTCAACCGGCCTGGACCTGGATCCTGAATCCTAAGCCAACACTCGAAGCTGAAAATCCCAAAACCGAAGCCATCTGAACCCTCAGCCCTGAACCAACCCTCAACCTGAGCTGAACACCACAAGCCGCCTCGAGCAGATGAAGCCAGAAGTACCATGCTTGGGAGTACTGTTATTGCTCCGTCGTCCGTCGTCCGTCTTCAAATTTGGTGCGGCAGCAGCAGCAGCAGGGAGCGGGGGGCGGGAGCCGGAGCAGGAGCCGGAGCAGGAGGAGGAGCAGGAGCAGGTGGAGGTGGAGGTGGAGGTGGAGCAGGAGGAGGAGGAGGAGGAGGAGGGGAGGAGGAGCAGTAGAAGAACAGCAGCAGTAGCAGGCACTTGCTGTCTTCTCGTCCTGCGACGCAAAGACGAAAAAAAGAACCAACCCATGACAACCATACAAGACCATGTCTGCCGCACAATGCTACTAAGTCCACAATAAAAAACAAGATTTATATATACATATATATACTTGTATATAAACATATATACTTACGTACATATACATGTATATATGTGTATATATATATATATATACATAGACCTCAAGCCCCAGGTGCCTTCTTCTTGTTCACCTCCAAGATCTGCCCCTGGCGCACAGTGCCGTCCTGAGGAGGTCGCACTTTGAAGTTCCGAGGACTTGGCAAGCCGGGATCGCACTGCCTTAATCGGGGCTCAAGAGTAGATGTATGACTGGTATATAGATATACAGATATATGTATGCATGTATGTACGCATGTACGTATGCATGTATGTATGCATCTGTTGCATGTATGTTTGGTATGTTTGTGTGAACGTATGCATGTGTGTATATGTTTGCACGTATACATACACACACACATAATATAATATAATATAATATAATATAATATAATATAATATAATATAGTATAATATATTATAATATAATATAATATAATACAATATGATATAATATAATAAAAATATATTATAATATTATATCATATAAAATACTATAATATAATATACAATAATATAATATAATATAATATGATATAATATAATATAACATAATATAATATAACATAATATAATATAATATATTATAATATAATATAACATAATATAATATGATATATTATAATATAATATAATATACTATAATATAATATAATATAATACAATATGATATAATATAATATACTATACTATACTATAATATAATATAATATAACATAATATACTATAATATAATATGATATAATATAATATATAATATTATAATGTAATATACTATAATATAATATAATATAAAAATAACAAAATATAATATAATATAATATAACATAATACAATATAATAATATAATATAATATAATATAATATAATATATAATAGTATATAATAATATACAATAATATATAATAATATATAATAATATATAATAATATATAATAATATATAATAATATATAATAATATATAATAATAAAAAATATATATATATATATATATATATACATATATCTGTATATATGTATATGCGCAACTATGTATATGTGTGTATATATATATATATATGTTTCTATAGATAGATATTAAAGATATAGAAAGATATATATATATATATATGTATGTATATATGGTTATGCACTCCGCCACCCCCGCTCCGCTCCCCCCAGGCCCCCATCAGGATGCCCCCCACCCATGCGGCTCACCCTACTGGTAAGTCCCACAGGTATGAAGCCCTGTAAGTAAATTTGGGCTTCAGGGCTTCGGATCCACGATTCAGTCCTAAACCCTACCTGTAGCCAAAAGACCTACCTTTTGTCGCGTTCCTTCTTATGATTTCTGTATACACATGTGTATATATATATATATATATAGTATTGTATAGAGTTCCCTGAAGGTAGGTCTTTTGAAAGGGCCAGAGGTTTTCCCTAAACGCGAAAGAGAGTAGAGTGCAGGGCTTACGGGCGGTAGATTTTTATTTCAATAACCCTAACCCTAAACCCAGAACCCCAAACGCTACACCCAGAACCCCAAACGCTACACCCAGAACCCAAAACTCTAAACCCAGAACCCCAAACTCTAAACCCAGAACCCAAAACCCTAAACCCACTTGCCGCATGAGAAAAAGGATTTGACTTCTGGGGTCCCAACGGACAAATTGACGTTCACAATCTCACCTGGGCCGTGGGGTGTGGAGTTTAGGGTTTAGGAAGGGTTTGGGGTTTACGGTTTAGGAAGGGTTCAGGGTTTAGTAGGGTTCAGTAGGGGGCTTACTCTTTGGTGGTTAAAAGACTTGTGCCTCTAGAGTTTCAAGTTTAAGATGAAATGCTGAGAGCCTCCAGGATTTGAGGCTTAGGGCCCACAGGGTTCAGGATTTTACTTCGGGATCCCCTAAGCCCTAAAGCCTAAAACTCTAAAACCCTAAATCGGGGATGCAGACCTTGCTCGCGGTCGGGTCTCTGCCGGAGGCTTGAAGAGTTAGTGAAGTTGCTGGGGGTTCCTGAAACTAACGCTTAGGAAGCTTGGGGATTCGAGGGTTTAGGGTTGTGGGCATAGGGTTTAGGGTTTTGGGCTTAGGGTTTAGGGTTGAGGGTTTTGGACTTTGGGTTCAGTGTTTGAGGCTTGCGGGCTCTAAACCCCAAACCCTAAACCCGGTGATCGTCTGAGGCGAATGCCGTACGTGGGAAACTTCACGTTCTCCATAATCACCAGAGGTCCTGCAAGCGGGGCTTCTTGAAGCCCTAGACCAGACTGCTTCGGAGTCTAGGGTTCGGTATTTAGGGAAGCGGGGTTTAGAGTTTAGAGTTTTGGTTTGGGTTAGCGCATGGGCTTGGGGCTTGCCGGTTGGGGCTTCGGTTCCTATCTGCCTGGGGCGGTATTGTCCTCAAACTAAGCATGCACTCCAGGCACTTCAAGTCTACAACACGATATTCCAGAAAGCAACCGGCCTGAACAGAGACCGGATGGCAGGACGATGGTTTTGAGGACTCCGAAACAAAGTACCCTTGATTGCTAGAGAGCCCCAGCTCAGACTCTGATGAAGTCTCTGGTGACTTCTTAGAACCCTCATACAATGTCTACCAGACCCGATAATATTCAACTCTGGTAAAGATCACTTATCGAACATATACAGGACCCCTTACAAAAGCTAATTTACCCTAAACCCTAAGCTCTGAACCCAAAGCCGGAGCCCTAAACCCTAAATCCCGAATCCCCAAACCCAAACCTGAAACCCAAAAATTTAGACCAGTAACTCTAAACTCGCATCCCTCAATCCCTGAACTCCCTTCGCGGCCTTCCACGCCCGTGATCGTTCGATAGTCGATACGGGGATAGACCTGATGTCACGGAAGCGAACACGGATTGGGGCCTGAGGATTTCAGGGATGGTTAGAGGTTTAGGGGCCCGCCCCGAAACTTTGCCCTGTGAGCCCACAGCTCTATGTGATCACCCTGATTCCCTTAAGCACCAAACCCTAAATCGTTAAATGGCCATAAAGCCCTACTATAACCGTTCTCATAGAATCCGCGATAGAATCTGTAAACATCACTCTGCACTCCGAACTGGAGCCTAAATCCCAAAGTCCGAAAAACCTCGTATTCATAAGGCCCCCAGCTAGAAGTCGCTGAACTCTAAGAAGTCCTAGGCTTCTATTCTGAGCACTCTGAACCCAAAGCCCTCAACCTCTTCTAGAGCCATAGAGCCTTTTTCGAATGCTTCTAGAACCCTCGCAGAACCCCCAAGCTGTACTATAGGGGCCTGAACAGTTAGAATAGGGATTTGGAATATATTATGCTATACTTGTGAGAAGGAAGCCCAAGACAGCATTGCTAATTTTTTAGGCCCCAAACTTCGCGGGGAAATTCCCCTTGGGGGGCCTTGTAGTCGCGGCTCGCCGCGGCGGCATTGACGGCAGCAGCAGACCTGACCAAGCCATGCACTGCAGGCTTAGGGTTTAGGGTTTAGGGTTTTGTGCGGAGAGTTTTGGGGTTTAAGGTTGAGGGTGTGGGGTTGGGGCGTCAGAGTTTGGGGTAGAGGTGTTGGGCTTGAGGAAAACCAGAAAATATGACCGCCCCTGAATAAGGGCCTTTGGGGTTTGGCTTTTTGGGTTTGGGGTTTGTCGCAAGATATTTGTTTACGTTTATAACGGCTCCCCCAATTGTTGAGATCAAAGTTTTCAGGGTTTAGAGTTTACGCAGCCATATATAACAGCCGATTGAAGCAATGGACCATACATAAGTCATACTGCAAACCCCTCCAGAGGCGGCACCCCACACTGCAGCCTTATCATCCGAGAAGCCGGAACCATGAATGCCCCCTTCGACAAGACCCTGAAACACCCTAGTGCAGCTTAAGGGTCGAGGGTCTCAGTTTAAGTTTAAGACGTATAGGTTCAGGCTTGAGGGGCTTTGCCTAAAGGACGTCCTAAAAACAAAGGGTATTGGCTTTCGGATCCTTGATTCTGATCCCCAAACTGCATGCACTGGGGAAGTGCTGCGATGGCGGCAGCATGCCGGCATAGCAGTAGATAGCTTCTTTACTTCCTCATATGGTTGTTCGGAAAGTTCGGACCATCAAAAATGCCCTCTGTCAGTTCTCACATCATGATTGCTGTGCTTGCGCCCTCCTGCATTATTTCCTACGGCCCTTTGCCCTAAGCTTCGCTGAAGATATTTCATCTAAACTTCATGGCAACGCTTTCCTCCGAAAGTGCGAACAGCCACGGTACCACTGGGATCCCGGCATGGCTCTCGAGACTTAGGCGATGTCGCTCAAAATCGGGCAAAATTTGGAACTGCGCCGGGACACACAAACTTGTCCTGGCCTTTCCGAGCCGGTTTAGGGTCAAGGGGGCCTTTCGGAGACAGGAGCCCTGAAAGGAACCCTCAAAAGGAACTGTCAAAAGGATCCCTATAGGAGCCCTTAAGGGGGTAGGCGTCAAAGATTTTCCAAGCATCGCATAGCTTCCAGCAAGATAGTTACCTGCTCCCTAGCAGACACTTATCATCACTCCGTCCTGGACAATAGTCAACTTCCCGGAGAAAGGGTGTTGTGCTCTTCTCAAACAATGGCGGCAAACATGGACGTTCGTTTAGGCCGGTGCTGAGGCTCAGAAGTTACATCAGCTCACCTTCTTCCCGTGCAGAGGGTTGCAGTGTGGCCGATTACCCATATCCTGGGTCGCAAGCCCCTATCTCCTTCCCCAAAGCTCGAAACTCAAAAGGGTTCAGACCTCAACTCAAACCCGTCCCGCCCCGTCCCCCCACTCCCCATCTCACTACCCAACAGTACCACTTTTTGATGCTGTCTGCGACCCAGAACTCAAGATGCCGTGATTCGAACGATCTTACATCCACGCCCCAAGGTCCATACTGGGTCAAGGGTTCAGGTACCGCATGATGCTTTGTCATCTAAAAACCAAACGCAGAAAACTTTGCGGCACGGTAGGCCGCAAAGAGTAAGCGACTGAAGGCGAGATTTGTCTCGAAGATCATGTAGGTGCGATCCCTGAGTGCGGAAATTTCCACTGCGGCTTCCAGCCTCGGACATGGGCTTGGAGCGTTTCGGGACACAAGAATTTGTCGACAGAATCTGCGAGGAGGACACATGGCAAAACCTCGTGCAACGCCAAGAAAGACCAACTGCTAAGCACCGATTTTCGCAAACATTGAGGCCAAACGTTCATGCAGGTCCAAAAAACAATAGCAGCAGCTGAGTGCCGACAGTCTCGCGCTGCGAGACGCATAGGGGGCTCAGCTTTCTAACGCTTCATTCAGTAGGCTCGGGCTGAGAGTCTCAGAGCTTGGCAGGGCATGGGAATCTTGCAATGTCAATGTCTGGAAGTGCCGTTCACTCAGATGCTGCAGGCAATGTTGATTCGGCCGCGTGGCAAGTACACAGAAACAAGCTAGATAGACAAGCTTGACTATCCTTCGACATGATCCGAAACCAGAGTTTGCTGTGCTTGCGGCGGCTCCTGAATTGGTAACATGCAAATGGCCTGAAACAATACATTGGCGCCTGAAGGTTGCACTGACATGTGTTCAAATAACAGCCACATAAACAACGAAGCTTAATTATTGTATACGATGTAGTAAAGAGAACAAAGTCCACCGCCGTCCACCTACCTAGATCCATCCGTCCATCCGAACATACATACCTGCAAACCCAAGTACCTACATACAGACGTATGTACATACATACTTAAGTACATATGTATAGGCATGCATGCCTGCAGGACGACAGCCAGACAGACACACTGACTTTCATACAAAATACACTGTTGATTGAACCTGGCCGCGTAACTTGTACATACGCGGCTGCCATGCCGCAGACATGCTATGTGTGCCCAAAAACACCTGATCGAATTTGCATTGCTGTGTTGTTGGCTACTGACATTACACGTGCGAGCGGACATATGTCAAACGTATTTGTGTATACATGCATAATAATGTGCACATATGTATGTATGTATGTATGTATGTATATATGCAGGCATGTATGCATGTATGTATGTACCGAGACTGTGCATTTACATCCGCACAGGCTTGTTCACTAATATAGGGGGCTTAATAATTAGAATAGGATTTCGGTGTACATTGTACTACAATAAGGAACCCCAAAAATAGTATAGGTATTCCATTAAGCCCTTATAGTAAACCTTCAGACAGCCAGCTTCGGCGTCTGCAGTCTGACAACGAAACATGTCTCTGCAGAACGCACGTGATGTTGCATTCACACTCTGGTACATTTGGAAGTTTGAAAGCCGGCTCTGGTGCGGGGGCGGGTCCTTCGCTCTCCGGACCTACGTGATGTCGCGGAGTTGTGACGGATTTGAGCATGCAAGCCACAAAGCATCCGCGTCCACGCCCCCAGCTTCCGGCAAAGCCGTGGGATACAGATACAGCCTGTCTGAATCCCGAAATCGCACACATCATTAGCAGGTCGGTTTTGTCGGATACACATTCATCTCGCAGGTTCATTGTGACGGTGTTTTACGTAGATGCTGTGGGATGTAAGCTAGACACTCTGGAATTTCCCTTGCCGGGCATCATTGACGCATCGTACGTCGCAGTTGTTCCGCAGCATCCCTGAGCGGGAAATGGGAGTTTCCGACAATAGGGGACCCTAATGTAGTACCCTGAAAAGTCGGACCCTTAATATAAAGATCCCCGAATAGGATACCCCCTAGTTTTTGGAAACTCCTAGATGGGACAGGGACTCAGCAGTTACACCTCCGACTTCTTGCTCTCTTGCCTACACGAGGGTTGAGGATGAGGATGCGCACGAGGATCAGGAGGACCAGGATCAGAACGAAACCACGAAAGACGACGATGACGGTTGCGCTATGATGAAGATTTTACGATGATGGTCGTGCTAAGGAAGAGATGATGAAGATGATGGTAATGATCGCAGAGGAAGGTCGATAGTGCGGCTAAGGGCAGTGGCTCTGCACCAAAGGCACTTCTGGAGCGCAGCTCCCTTGATGATGAATCCGATGAGGATGCAGATGGCGATGAGGATGAGGATGACAATGATAACGAAGGTCATGAGAACAAATGAACGATGATAATGGCTATAGTAATGAATGGCGGTGAAGATGGTGGCGATGGTGATGTGGATGATGAGGACAGGGTAAGAGTGTGGAGAAAAGGAGGACGAGCAATGGGACCAGTGTCAACATTTTGCTTGTGATGACGACTAATACAACTCTGACTACGTCGGACGGCTATAATGTTGCCCATTCTCCTGGAAAGTAGTACGGTTATCGTAACAGGGAACCAACCATTCCCCCCTCCCTCTCCGTGAGGTCCTCATGCGCGGAGGACGCTGGGCACTGAATGCTTCCTCCCGCCGGTGCTGCGAAGGCATTCAGCGGTTCTGGGCTTAGGTTGAAAAAATCTCCATTTTAGGGCTGCAAGCAGAATGGCTTTGGGCTCAGAGGTGGCTCCGAAAGTTTTGACACCGGAGAATCTCCGCAAGGAGCATCACATTTGGGGTATGGATCTTTGCAAAGAGACAAGGCTATGGGGATCAAGGCATCCGAGAGTTCGACACCACAAACTTGCCCGGAACCCAACGTCTCAACGCAATCCTTAAACTACGGTTCTGAGGCACATGTAAGTATAAAGTTGAGGGACCCTGGGAAAAACCGCGTCCCTGCATAAACCATGGCACTAACCCGGATGCCTGAACCTAAATCCTCACACTAAACTTAGCCGGAGAGCCTAAACCCCATGTACTCTTGCGGCCGAAGAGGGAACCCCCCGACCCCGACCCCCCGACTCGGCGCGATCTGTTTGGACAGTGGCACACAACAAGTGCTCCGGCAGCACACATCGTGTGCTGTTTCAAGTGGAAGGAATCAACAAAACATGTCACTCCATGACGCAAGCCCCACTCCTTTAAAGGAACCCTAGACCCCTCAACCCCTGAACTCGACATCCCCAAGCCGTTGAGCGACCTCATGCCCAGGAGGCGCGGCAAGGGGAGGGCGGCAGACGGAGGGAAGCGGCCGGCCAGCCAAAGATGACCTAAGGCTCTGTGTAAGGGTTTAAGGTTCTTTTTGGAACTCCTTGTCTCCAAGCCCAGAGGTCTGAAGAGAGGGCTTAAGGTTTAGGCTTCAGGGTTTGGGGGTTTAAGACGGAAAAGACCAGCTGTATCGGGGTTTCTATTGCGAGAGAGGATTTGGTCTTAGAGTTCTTGCCATGCCTACGATGCCTGCCGGCGGCATCAGAATTTACTTCAAGCACCTGTTGCAATGTGCATGCCTACGGCAGCTATCATAACAACTGGAACATGGAGCATTGCCACCAGGTGCCTAAGCTTCGGCTTCCCGTAGTTCTTGGAAGCGTGAACAAACTGTCACCGTGAGGGCCGCGGCGAGTCTGATGCGATCATCGTAAGTAAAACCTGCTTACTACGGTGGCGGTAGCAAAAAGAAGCTGGCGACCGCTTGAAAGGATACCAAGCTGTATGTAACAGATGCACACCCAACCTAGATTGACAAGATGACTGGGCCGGATAGAAGTGGTTGTACCAACGGTGGTGATGGCGATGACGATGACGATGATGACGACGATTACTGACAATGGTAACATGAAGTGGGATAACCACAGCACACTGCAGAAAAAAACACTTGGAAATGAGTTGATGCTGCAAAAATGTCGCCATGATCGTCAACACATCTGTTCACGTCGCAATCATCTCACCATCTGATGCTCTCGCATCAACGATGAACAGGGTTTTTTTTGTGGGATAGGGATGAAACCCCTAAAACATAAGACTGGAAAGCGCACGATTGCTATTAGAATCGTAGGGGCGACACCCAGTCGAAGCGCCCAGTTGGGTCACGCACTGCTCGCAAGGCGGTCCTTGCTGCCGACGGTGGAGAAGAAATCCATCTAAACACGGGCATTAAGCTCTCCAATTTTTCTGGGCCTTGATACATAACTAGAATATATGGATTTGAGGCATGTTCGAATGCACACGTATTAAACACCTGAGGAATAGCAGTCGCAACTATTCAGGCCCTCTCATGATTTGCACGTGAACCACCCAAACTTGAAGACTTCTCCGGGTGTCCTAAGCGAGCCTGATGGGGGGGGGCTTTACAACTAGAACAGAGTCTTCGGGGATAGTACAGGAAAAGAAAGGGCCATAACAGTTAGAATAGGGTTCTGGGGCGACATTGTACTATAAATGTAATCGGGGACCCCCTGAATAGTATTGGTGATTATTCAGGACCCTACTGTACTATAGCTGATTAAGGAACTCGAAGGACTGGCACGGTTGGTGAGAAAAAATCTTGCATTACTTAAGGACCCTAGACTATGGGACTAATAGCATATTCCTTATTATGGGAAATGCAGGATATAGATCATCAACCGTCATAGCAGTTTGCCTTCACCCGCGAACTCCGCAAAAGGCCCAACGCCCGAGGCGCTACTCCTAGAGACCCTGTCGCAACTCCAAAGCAAAAGAAAAAGGCTTCTTCACTTCTTTGCAGTTTAGGTCGTCGGGTGTGTAGGGGTTTCTAGGGGTTTGTAAGTTATGGCGGGTTTACAAGAGGTTCATAGGGGCATAGGGCTTCATAGGGATGTAGGGTTCAGGGTGCACGGTTCAGGGTCCCTACTATCATTCCCCGAATCCTTACGACCTTACGAACTAACTCGAAACCTCCAGCCCTGAGAATCTCAAGTGCTGGTTAGCAATACCTCATTGTCCAGTATTGTAGGGGGTTTGATTTTTGTAATACCGCAATGGTTTTAAGGTTACCTACTCTACTACTAGGAATAGCCTCGAAGTCTATGCAGCATCCCCATCTTGTCGACCTAGCGATCTACCTACATCTATGCCTACATCTTTGTCTGCACGTACATGTAATTCCATGTTTGTACGCATATGTATATATACATATATATGTGTATATATATATATATATATACATGTTTATTATGTATATTTACATGTACACATGTATGTATATATATATATATATTTATTTATTTATTTAGACCTATCTGGAGCGAGGGAGACGGATAGATCAAGAAAGCGCGAGAGAGCAAGGACGGAGGGAGGGATGCAGAGGCTTCCAGCTTCTGTCCGTATGTCGCTCACACTGGGAGGCCGACGATAGGTCCGGCAGGGCGGGTGCTGCCTGCGTGGGCTCCTGGGATTTGGGCTCAGGACTGATCCTCGGATCAAGGGACTAGTGGTACTGTACAGGTGAGGTAGATTCCAGCTACATCTGCTTGTAGTCAGTTCTAGTGTTTTGGGGCTCACGTTTCACATTTGGAGGTCAGGCTTTAAGGGAAAGTATTCAAGGGTTTGGGCTTTAGGGTTCAAGGGTTCAGGGCTCAGGCTCAAATTCAATGGGTTGCTACTGTTCTGCATCGACCTGCTTTGTCTCGCAGTAGTGCCTCTCTGACGTTGACATGTAAATCACTCCCCTTGCCCGCCACTTCCTCCCTCGTGTCTGCTCTGTTTACTTGCCTCCACCCCAAACCCTGGGTGCAAAACCCTGAGCATTACTCTCATGATGCTATCATTTCATCCTCCCTCTGCTTCCCGTCAGTAAGCAGGTCTCAGGCTATGACATCTTCGTGCAGTCGGAGCTCTTGTGGAGCTCGTGGAGTCGTGAGGACCGGTGTGGCGAGGGTTCAGGGCTTAGGGTGCAGGGCTTAGGGTTTAGGGCTTTGGGTTTAGGGTTCATGGTGGTGAGGTTACTGGAAAGGCTTTCTCAACTGAGCCCCTTTGTATACGAGAACCACGAGGAATAAAATTACAAGCTGCCCTAAACCCTTACCCTGAAGTTACTAGCTCTTCAAGCCCCAAGCCCTCGGCCCTGCCACCCAGCTCTCCCACAAGAAAAACGCAGAACCTCGTGGGTCTGCGTCGGCGTGACGTGCTCTGCACGCGGCGTGGCGGCCTCCGGGCGGATTCTGGAAAGCGAAACCCTAAACCCTAAACCCAAACCCTAAACCCTAAACCCCTAAACCCTAAGTGTTCTGGCCTTAAAATATTTCGGGCTTAGGGATTAGGGTTTAGGGCTGAGGGGCGTCGGATTTAGGCTTGGGGGTTGCAGGTTTCGGTGTCTGGGGCTTAGAGTTTGGGGTTTAGGATTTAGGGATTGAGGGCTTAGAGCTTAGGGTTTAGGGCTTTTGGGCTAGGGTTTAAGTTGTAGGGATGAGGGCATAGGGTTCTTTCCGGGTTCGGGGCTGGCGGCTTCAGGGTTTGAGGTTCGGGGGCTTAAGGTGAAGGGATAGGCTACTTCTACATACTACAGATTAACATAATGGTTGTCTTTGTTCTTCCTGTTCGTTCTTGTGGTGCAGAATGCTCTCACTCCTCCTTTTGGTATAGTCTTGGCAGCAGTACTCAATGGCGCTCTCACTGTGATTGCTCTTCCTACTGGTCCTACCCTTTCCTGTTCTTACTCTTACCAACAATAGGACATATACTGAACTTTCAATCCTAGCAAAAATCACATTTTTTGCTGTTTCTTAGGGATTATAATAACCAAAAATGTTTTAAAAAAAACCAAGTACCCCTAAGATATTACGAAGCAGGGCCTTTCACTGAGGAAATGTTCGGCACTGTGGGCCGAAGGTTACTCTTTGTAAGATGTGCAAGTGGTAACTACTGCGAAGAGCCTCGAAAGCGAAAGTGCAAATGAGCACAAGAGCTTCAGCCAGACAGTTCAAACACCAGTGAGGAGACAAGTTTCGACCACTGGGACCATAGAGGTACAGCGACTGTAAGTCAAAACGTCACAACAACTACTCAGCGACAGCAGCAGGATAGAGAGTGCTGCCAGTCTGTCGCAAGTCTGTGTACACTTCGCAGCGCAAGCCACGGGACCCTAAGATGACGGCCGTGATGATGCAACAACTCAGAAGGTACCCTGAATAGTCAGGGCTACTATAACATACTACACTATAACATAACATACTATAACATACTATAACATACTACAACATAGTATAATATACCATAACATATCTGGGACCAACTGAACCTATACCGCTATCTCAAAAGCCCAAGCTCCTCGAGCCATCTCGTTTAGCGAGGTTCGGCCTGCGGCTTGGGGCGCAGCCTTTGCAGCCTCCAATGCCAGAGAAGTCGAGAATGGCTGTTTAGGGTTTAGGGTTTAGGAATTTCAAGTCTAGCGCTGCGGGTTCACAGTCGGAGGACAACGAACAACAACAGCCGCAAAACACAGTAAGAAAAAGCAGCAACAAACCACGACAAGCAACCAACGATAAACTTCAAACAACAAGCAACAGCAACAACAACAACAACCACAACCACCGGCAGCACAACATCTCAAAGATTGAAACAAAAACAACAAACAGAAACAACCACCAACAAACAGTAAAAAACAACAACAGTCAGCAACGGCATCAGCTAAAGACAGCCGCAGCAGCACCAGCACCAGCAGCAGCTGAAATCATCAGCATCGCCACCTCGTGCACACTGCCAATGTCTTCAGCAACAGCAGCCGAAGAGTTGTCATACTCATCAGCCATCACCATCAGCGTTGTCAACCTGCGCAAACACCCCAAGTCTCCAAGCCCTAACATAAAGGCCCTTATGATAGGGTTTTGGGGCCCATGATACTATAAGTATCATAAGGAACACCCACAACAGAATTGGTATTTGTTGAGACCCCTATATTCAAGCCACCCTAAACCCTAAACACTGAACCCTACACCCTAAACCCTAAACCCCGAGCCTCGAGTCCCGGTGCCGAGATTCCTCAGCCATGGCCTGTCAACTTCGAAGGCTTCGGGTCTAGGGTTTAGGGTTTAGGATTCAGGGTCTAGGCTTTGGGGTTTCGGGTTTAGGGTTCAGGCTTTAGGGTTTACGGTCTAGGATCTAGGGTTTGGGGTCTAGGGTCTAGGGTTTAGGGTTCAGGGTTTAGGGTTCAGGGTTTAGGGTTCAGGGTCTAGGGTTCAGGGTTTGGGGCTTAAGGTTTTAGGGTTTAGGGTTTAGGGTTCTTTTTTTGGGCCCTAGGGTTTAGGGTTCAAGATTTAGGGTGTAGGGTTCAGGGTTCAGGGCTTAGGGTTCAGGGTTTAGGGTTTATGGGGCTTTGGAAGTCCACCAACAGGTTTTAGATGGGTTACCATCTATTCGGATTCTTTGGGGGTTGAGGGGTTATATCCTTGTCTGGGCTTGTGGCTTCGGGAGAGCGAAATATGGGGGCCTTAACAATTAGAATAATTAGAACGGGTTTGCGGCATACAAAAACAATAGGAAACACATTTTTAGAGGGCTTCGGATGAGGGTTCGGGGGTTGCCTGGTTTGGAGCTTAGGGTTTAGGTCTTCGGACTTATGGAGGAAAGTTTCAGGCCGCTTGATTTATCCCTGCATCATCCGCTGCTCCTCCCCGATCTGGATACCTAAACCCTAAACCGCAAACCCTGAAACCCAAGCCCAATAAACCCTAAACGTGAAATTAAGACTAGAAGACCCGATACCTTAAACCCTGAAACCCTGAAAAGACACAACTAAAGCCTGTTAAAGCAGTGCTCCTTGAAGGCTTGCTTTTTATCTAAGGTTTCCTTGAAAGTGTTCCTTTAGAGGGTTCTATCCGGCGAATAAGGTTTCGGGGGCATTGTAGCATACTGCAGGGGCTGTACGGGTTAATTCTTCCGGCCTCTAGTAGTGCGAACTCCACCCTGCAACACCTTGCTACATGCGTATTACTGTTGCTGCCAGTAATGCTAGAACTTAGGACTGCTTCCGAGCGCTACCTCTCCAAAATAGTGCGTTTCAGTCTCGCTGTTTTCCTCCCAACATCTCTGTACACCCCATATCTTCGTCTGAACATACATACATACGTACGTATATGCAGGCATGCAGACAGCACCACACGCTTACTTACCTACTCACTTACTGAGTTACCTACCTGCCGGCTTGCTTCCTTACCCACAGATCTACATGCATGCATGCATTGTGCACCCAAGCACGCTCCTTCCCAATCGGACATCCAAGGCCGGGCTCCCGACGATGTTGTATTCTTCCACGGAGATGCGGCTCGCTGCCTCCAGTGGGGCTTCGGGAAATTCGACTTTGGGGGAGCGGGGTTATAACGGAGATCATACGGTTGAGGGCTCTGGGGAAGGATCAGAAAAGGTCTTATGACGGGGAACGTACCATCTATATAGTTCTACATAATAGCATTGGAATTTTCAGGAATGCCCAGGCGGTGTAAGGACACTGCGGCGTAGAGTTGTATAGCACAACAAGCCTCTGCATTGATCTGGCGACCTCAATGGCTCTCTGAACAAGGTGTGCTTACGATTCGCCAGAAGTGCTGGAGTATTCGCCAGTTCGGTAATCTGTTTGTGTTCTTACCGGGTGGGGCCCTCCACCTTAAACTATTGTCTGTGTGTGTGTGCTTACGGAACTCAAGGTGTGCTCAGTGTGCTCCTGTCAGCAGTATATGCTAGTGACTGCTGCTAGTGCTGATACCATTGCGGCAGACATGACTACAATACGTACCACTTCTGCTTCTACCATTCTACTGCTGTAGACAACAACGAGTGTCTCCGGTGAGATTCATTACCAACGACTGCTGTCGTTGCTATCATCATTGGGAACATTATATGCACTCTCCCTGGCCTGGCCACTGCCCCCGGAGGTGCTGTCAACCACAGTCAAGCGTCTGGCACAGGGGAAAGCGTAACGTTGGGTTGTTCGGGTTCGTCTGGAGTAGATACGAGCACACATAACGCCGATCTAAACGATGCAACACGAACAAGCAACAGCAAGGATGATAAGACCAAACACAATGATCCGAATGTCAAGTGCAACGATTGCATCAACAAGCGCCCCGTCGTCGCCATCTACATGATGCTACGAAGCGTAAGAGTGATAGCCTGGTTGACGCGAATCGATGGCCGAAACTCCCAAAGTACCGAAGAGCCGTACCGCAAAACTGTGATGGACACCCTCTTTTTGCATCAAACATGCAGTATCCCAGGTCTGCCGCTGGAGAGAAGCGTGGAACATGCTGCACAGTCTGACGTCAGAGCTTCAAAGACTTGGAGAGAAGCTGAGCATTCAATGCGGAGCCACTCAAAAGAAGAGTCTTCGGGCGGTGAGGGAGGGCCGAAAAGCTTCGAGATGCAAGGCATCGGAAGCAATCACTGCTAAAGTCAGTGATGGACACCCTCTTTTTGCATCAAACATGCAGTATCCCAGGTCTGCCGCTGGAGAGAAGCGTGGAACATGCTGCACAGTCTGACGTCAGAGCTTCAAAGACTTGGAGAGAAGCTGAGCATTCAATGCGGAGCCACTCAAAAGAAGAGTCTTCCAATCATGTCACGTTACTCCGACGACTAAAGCGTTCGGAGAAGATCGAAAGCAAAGCGGCTGAGTAGCTGGACAACTCACAGATCCGGGCGCGGTGGCTCTTTGCCAAGTCCGCCAGGAGAAGTTGGCCCGCTACGTCCTGCAAGTAGTATTCCAGTGTGCGGCGTTGCTGCCATCTGCCCCGCCACTGGATGCGCGGAATGTCTTCAGTCAGTTGGTACATCCAGGTAGCGCCTGAGCCGCGTAAGCACTTAGGCGTCACGCCTGAAGGGCCTTCTTCAGTGGGTATGCCCAAACTCTTGAAGACAGCGTCCCAACGGCTTCGAAAAACGAATGGAGAGCAGCCGAACAAAGGTTGATCCAGCTCGAGGTCGCCGAAGAGAGCGCTCAGAAAACGCACCACTGAAGCGTCAGAGATCTTAGCATGTTGCCTCAACATGTACCTTTTCGTTTTTGCCCCCAGAATGCGCACGTAAGCTTGAGGCAAATCTGACAGTAAGTCCTGAGGCAAGATCAAGTGGCGTCTCCGCAGTTTCAGAAACTCACCCGGTCGAAGCAAAGCGCAAAAACCGATGAGGAGGCCCGCCGCGAAGACAGGCCAGGACCAAAGCAAGGCTACTGCAACTGCCGCCTTGAAAGCGGCGATCGGCAGCACTGCAGATCTTTCGCCTGGCTCTTCCTCTTGCCACCGTGTCAGCACAGCCCAAGCAGCTGGGAAGAAGGTACGGTAGTGCTTGAAGCGATCGCTGCATGCATTGATAGTTTCGGAGAAAATGTACTTAGGCGAGCCCTCGTAGAACAAGAACTTCCCGTAAGCAACCAAAGTAGTGCTAAGCAAAAGACCAGAGGCCGCCACTTGGTCGAAGGAGCAGCACAGTTCGTCAGCCGCCCACTTACAGAAGTCCTGGTACAAAGTTTCACGCCTCGAAGAAACCACTCTCGTAAGCCCACCCGCTGAATCCAGGTTCACATGCTGCCGCTCATCACTCGAGGCCTGGCGGCGGCGAGGCATCAGAACTCAAGAGAGTCAGCAGGCAGACCAAGCGAGCCCAGCCCCCACAGGGTCCGACGCGGTCGTCGGCAAGCTTGACCGCCGCCAAGTAGCGGTCGTCCCCAGCCAGAAAACGCCGAAGCCAGAGAGGAGGCTGACACACCCGTTCACGGAGGGGCTTCAAACGAGACGGGTCATCAGCGCAGTTGTCATGGGTGCCCACATGAAAATGATATGGGTAAACGTTGCCACCGATGATGTAGGGTAAGCTGGTGCTCAAGTAGTAATTGAGCTTGGCGCTGCTAGAACGGCCCTTTGTGTTGCAACCTATCACCACCCGGCTGTCAAGGAGAATGGCACACCTACTGTTTGGAGAGCTTCTTGAAATGTACTTGATCAAACTCCGATAAGAAAGCTCCTCATTGATGTTGATGTGATTCACCCTAGCAAAACGGTACTGAAACAGCTTCTTCCACTGCAAGCAGTTGCCTAAGTCGCCGATCCACCGGGGTGGTGACGAAGCAGGTCTCGAAGTCTCACAGTCAGGCTGTCGAAGCAAATGTAAAGATGGAAGCAGCAACTCGAAGGCCCTGCGGCAGAAATCCAAAGGGTACGCTCTGGAGAATCGGCTGACAGGATCCCCTACTCGAACATCTCGCCCGAAGACTGCAAGGACACTCGGCTGACACAACTCTGTAAACTGTTTCGCCCCGGCTTCGGTGAAGTGGCTGCCTAGGCGAAGGTGTCTCCCCTGGAGCGGACAAGCGCACTTGGCTCGGAGACGCAAAAGAGCTGGATTGTTGATCAACCAAACCGAGCGTCCCTCAAAAGGACTCCCGTACTTGCACTTGCAGAACTCGAACTCGCAGAATCCCACAGCTTTCAAACTCTTGAAAATCTGAAGTCTGAACATCACGGAGCCCAAGGGTTGATCAGCTGACGCCAGGATACCATAAGCTGCAGCCAGGTTCAAGACAAAAGCTGTACGCATAGCAATTCGGTTACCATGCTTGGTGTGACAGTTGCTCGGGTCAAACCCCCAAGGGCAGCGCTTGCTACGAAGGCGGGGTTTCCACATGGTCCCAAACGTTTCACAAGGGGCCCTCACATGTACATACCCGACGACGCGTCGACAGATAAGTCCCAGAACCTGGTCGAAGCATGCAGAGCTCGCGAAATCATCTGAGGGATCAGCTGAAGGGTCGAAGCCGGGGTGCACTCGCAAGCCCAGCGATTGGCCGACGGCCGAAAGCGCACCCTCACCCCGAAACACCTCCAAAAAGTCGAACAAGATGCCTTCAGTGAGCTGCTGAGGGAGCCCCAAGCTAAGATGATCGGTGTCCTCATGATCTCCAAATCGCGCTGCGAGCTCTGCAGAACTGGGCAGAAGTGACGTGTGGTAGCCTTTGTGGTCAGCGTGCCGCAAAAGTTCCAGGCAAACTGAACTGCTGATTCTGCTGTGGCAGGCCCCGGCTGCAAACCCTGAGGCATCAGTGCAGAAGATACGATCCAGCGGAGCAGCCCTAAGGTCAGTGAAAATGCAGGGGCTCAGCAAAACCAGAAGCAGCAGCTCCTGCCTAGCATCGTGAGACAGCTTGAAGATCTCACCGCCAGCTCGGTTTCGCATCTCATGATACACTTCGGTCATCAAGCACATGAAGACCCTCCGAAACATGCAGATGAAAACCCAGGAACCCACCAGGCACTGTAACAGGTCTTTGGTACAATATCCCAATAGAATGAGCTGGAAAGTGAGGCCCCCCAATGCCAACGTGCGAAGTCGTGGTGCTGAAATGTCTCCCCGAAGCCCGTCTAGGTCTCCGCCCAGAACTGTAGAGTGTGTAACGTTGCGCACTTTCTTCTTGGCCGAGACCCGAAGACCCGACTTGAGGTAGGCAGCCGATGCTTGGGACAGCAATCGTACATCTCGCCGATCGGGGCTGGGGAACTTGTGGATATCTTTTAACGGGACAAGAAGGAGGTACACGTGGTCATCGATACACAAAAGGTCGAAGCCTGGGCCTTTCGGAAATACACATCTGTACGAAACTTTCTCATGTTCACGTAGACAACCTAAGCGATACAGTAGTACACTGTGGGCGTGCTGGGCCACTTCCACAGCGAAGCTGGTGCCCATGGCAAGTGTCCGAAAGCATCCTACCACATCCTGCCCGCGCAGCTCTTCCCGATGACAGTGCCAGCCTTCGAACTCATCAGCTTTCAACACCCCATGTATATGATTGCGGGCAGCATGTTGTTCGCTAATCAAGAAGCCATGGTAGAAGTCGCAAAGATCATCGGAGTTGATCACTAAGGCGGCCTCCTTGGGTATGTAGAGCTGACACAGAAGACTGCTATGCGCGAGAGTGTGCGTAGCATCAGACACAGAGAAGCTTCTAGAGTTCTCGGGAATGGGGTTGAGTATTTGGCGGTCCGTGGAGTCATTCTTGAACACGGAGAAAAGGCCGCATCTGTACCGGAATTCACTGAGGGAGGCCGGGATCAAATGCAGAGAGTGAACTGAGTCCCACTTCTTGAAGAGTTCGAGCTGCTTCTGTCGGCTGCAGTGCACACGCGTGAGCTTCGGTTTCACCCACTGACTCGAAGGAGTTCTAAAAGCTCGAGGGTCCTGAAGGCCGGCCCGAAGCAGAGGATCACAAAGGAACCGACGAGCATTAAATGCCGGGGCTTCTTCAAAAGTCAACCTTGAGGGCTCAATGCTCATATTGGTAGTCGTGGGTGCAACCTTGCTCGAAAAAGGAGTCTCAGAGGGAATCGGCTCAGCGCGACCGACAACCTCGCCAGTGTCACCTCGAGAAGGCTTGCAATATGGCTGTAACTCCGAAAATAATCTCTGACTCATCTGTTGCAAGACACTAATCTGCTCGCTGATGGAATCGAGCTTCTGGACCGAACGGCCCAAACCGCTTTTGAGCCCGCGGCTCAAGCGGAGCCAAGTGGCGGCCCAGCGTTCGAACCTGCAAAGCATTGCACGTTGCTGGTCGGAATGGGGCGGCAAGGCTGCAGGGGGAGAGCTGGGTCGATTGAGAACCAACCAGTTGTTCGCGGCAACAAAGTGGCGACACATCAATCGGCTCAACGATCTCGCTCTCCACCGCGCCTCGCGCCGGCTCCCCAGGCGAGTCCTAGGGACGGCCAAAGGAGGGGGCACTGCGCAGGGCCACAACTCGGAGGAGCACCGCGAGGCAGCACTCGAAAAACTAGGTGCAAGTGAAAGTTTGATAAAGTGTGACAATCTGGTCTTACATCTCGGCAAAAACCTCGAGATCGCTGTACTTAACCGCGAGGCACACAATGATGAATCCAGACCATCAGGAAAAAGCTGAGGCAAGAGCCAAGGAAGCCCGTTCACGAACTGGGTTCGGCTGCGTCTTCTCGCTTCCGCTGGCCTCGCTTGCCCCGGCCTCCGCCCTTCGGATCTTCGCGAGACGGGCCCGGTCCGGGCGGTGTGGTTGTCGGCTGCTGCGTCTTGTGAGTCCTTTCCTGAATGAGGTCGGCGTCCCGAAGATAGGCTAAGTTCGCCGTGATCCAGCGAGGGTCCGCCAGGAGACCGTGCGGGACTTCCGGACGAGGAGCCCGCCGCTGTTCGACTTGAGCAAATGGCGGGTCTTGACGCCCCGTCAGCAACCAGCCCAGGCGAGTGTGGCCCTGCTCGTTCGCGACCTGCTCGGCAAACACAAGGCCTAGCCCCAGAAGGGAAAGCATCTCGGCTGCTTGGCCCCGCTCCGCCGCCTCCCACATCTCGGCCAACAGGAAGCTGAAGTAGGTCAAGGTCTTGTAGCTCCCCAGTGGCACCGTCTCGGCGAAGTGCAGGTACATGTCCCTCGGCTCCAAATCTGCAGGATCCTTGCGGCGAGCAGCGGCTAGCCGAGTCCGGATCTGTTGTACCACGCGGTCCGGGTGGGCCGCAAACTGCTCTATCATGAGCTGCCGCGCCGCCATGCCTTTCACACCTGGGAGCTTCGAGTCGTCCTCCGAGGAGCTGCTGCTGAGAAGGCCGTGGAGAGGATCCTTGGGCTTCTTGGAGGCAGCCGCCAGCTGTGATAGGATCCGTGTCTGCTGGGCCAAGAGCTTGGAGAGCATATCGCCCTGATCCGCGGCATCCTCGAGGTCGCCGCCTTCCTGCTCGTCGTCCTCTTCGGGGACACTGCCCAACATCAAGGGAGTTGCCCGAACCTTCGGCTGAGCTCCTAGTCGAGCTGAGGCTGCCGTGGATCCGGGACCGCCGACGGTGGCAGCCACGTCGCCCAAACGCTTCGGCCCCCGGCCGGCCAGCTGAAGAAGATGCTGCATCTGGTTTGCTCCAAGATCGACTCGGTTCCCTTCGGTGAACAGCTGGGGCGCCCATGCTGGAGTCGCATCGCCACTCACCACCGGAGGGGCGGTCGCGGCACTCGAAGAAGGCTTCTGCTCCAGGTCCCGAAGGCGCGATTCCATGCCATCCAGACTTGACAGTCGCTGCTGAATCCCGCTCAGAAGGTCGGCCTGGGAGCTGCTCTGCTGCAGAAGTTGGTGCAGCAGCACCTCCCCAATGTCCTGATCCCCACCGTTCGCCCCGGCTGCCGCGGCTGATGGGGGAACCTCTCGAACCAGCTCCTCTTCGGAGACTCCGGTGTGATAGCCCTCCAGGCGGTCGTCCAGATCGTCTCCATCGAGGAACTTCTCGAGCGCCTCCAGCAGCCGGACCCGAGAGGGCCAAATGGATTGCAACCTCAGCGTGCCGAAATTCAAGACGGTCATGCTGGCATTGGGTTCCAGAGATAAAGCCTCGGCCTCGGAGGGCTGCATGTCGATGAGCAGGCAGGGGATCGTCTTCTTGAGCTCCCGGCCGCTGGCCCCAACAGCTTGGATATTGACATTGTGCCATGGTCCCAAGGTTCCCACATAGTCTTCGAGCACCGCCTGGTCGAGCTCGTCCTCCTTGATGGCGCCCTGAGGAACACAAAGCATGAAGCCGGCGGCAATGGCCTTGACAACGATAGCTTGGCTGCAGACGCCCGCATGGGAATACCACACACGACTGTAGCCTCCGATAGCCTCGGCAGTGCGAATCTCGCCGAGGTAATCGGGCCGTTCCTGAGTCATCGGTTCCGAGGCGAGGGCAAGCCCTCAAGGCCTGCCCCGCGACAGTAAGCCTCTGCTTCCGCTTGGGTGCCGAAGCCGTGAGATACAGCCTCTGGGTCCCAAGTGGCCCCAGGTCCGTTCTTGACGTAGGTGAAGTACACGTCCTTGCTGAAGGTGATGAAGGGCTCGGAGCAAGCGCTGCAGAAGAGCACCACGTAGCACACCCGACGCCCAGAAGTGGAGTCCGAACTGTAGCAAGTCCGATCCCCACGGACTATGGCCGCAGCTTCTTGACCCCGAAAGTAAGCCCGAGTAATGCGTTCCACAGGGCTAAAACCCGAAAGAGAGCGCAAAGACCTAGCCAGCCGAAGAACTGAATCAGGGCAGGTGGCTGGAGTCTCGCGAAAGGCCCAGGTCAGATCACGAGCAGGGCCAGCAGAAGTCTGGCAAGCTCTCGCGGCTGAAGCCGAGGCAGCTTCCGAGGAAGCCGAAGGTGCAGCCTGCCTTTCAGGCCCAGTCACGACAGTGACGTTGATGGTCAAGGACCGCAGCTGAGACTCTAGCAATCGAATGTTCAGAGGGTCAGGATCACTGCTCATGCACGTGGCCCCGGTAACGAGCCAAACGTTGACCCCCAGTAGAGGGATGAGCAGCTGGGTGCAATTCCCGAAGGCAAGACCCTAAGCAGGCCCAAAGAATATTCCGAGCCGCCTGGCTGAGAATCAATCCAGCGAGGATAACCCCACAGCACAAGCCCAGCAGCCAGCTGATCAGCACCGCCAGGAGGAAGTCGCTGGAGGAATGGCTCGAGCAGCCTAACCACCCTAACAAAAGGGGCCAGACTCCAGGACGATCAAACATCCCCCGATCCGAAAAGCTTCGAGATGCAAGGCATCGGAAGCAATCACTGCTAAAGTCAGACGTTAGACCTGAGCGAGTCGGACAAGGCTGAGGCTGGCAGTTGGGTGCAGGCATCTGGGCACCCGCGACTGGCTTAGGGACCAGGGCAGTGCTCGGTCATCCAAGTCTGCAAAGAACAACCAAGACCAGAAAGATTATGAAACACGTGCAGTCCTTCCTGTATCTGCATATACCTGTTCCATATGTGTTTCTACGCATAATAACATGTATATGCACATTAATTAAGTATACATAAAAGTATATAGATAATATGTGTGTGTGTGTGTATATATATATATATATGTTTACACCTACGTATATGCATCATGGCGATCAACACAAGCCAGGACGACTGGAGCTCGTGAATTATCATCTCCAGCCTGGCTGTCGGAGCGTGCTGGAAGTTGCGGCTTTTTGGCTGGAGGTGGAAAGGCTGTAGGGTCCAGGGTTGAAGGGTTTTAGGGTTGAAGGGCTTTCGGGTTCAGGGTTGGAGGCTTTAGGGTCTAGTGAGTCTAGTGTTTAAGGTCTTCAGCTGTGGGTTTTTGGATTTGGGGCTTCTGGTTTACAGTTTCGGGTGTCTAGGCTTACGTGACCATGCAGTGGTGGTTCAGGAGGGTCTTCTTTTAGCCTGAAGTGGTCGGTCGAAACAAATATGCAGATGTGGCCAGGTACAACGGTGTCCCACACCCTTGCCATCCGAGGCACACACACACACACACGAAAAGCATACCAATCAACCCTAACCTCGCCCCCAGACCCACAACACCAAGCTCGAATACTCACCGGGTTAAACATAAACCTCGAGCTCCAAATCCTGAACCCAAAACGGCCACACCCTGAAGGCATCTCGTCCACGTTTCGTCCCTGGTGGCCTCAGGTCGGCAGTGCAGTGGACCTGACGGAGCCCCCGCCCTCAAATCATAGGCTCTGAGCCACCAAACCCACATGCTCCAAACCCTACTCCAAAACCCTTATGCACTAAGCCCTAGTGTCCAAAAAAAACTGCGACCCTAGATTCTCAAACCTCCGACGCTGCCTCGGATGCTTGCTCCCTCAACGAAGACAACCCTCCTCACCCGCCTCCCCTCAAAAAAACAAATATGCGATATAGGAGCGCTGCTCATGCTTATCCTTGGATAAAGGCTAACTAGTTAGTTCGTTCGTTCGTAGGTAGGTAGGTAGGTAGTCGGTAGCTACCGTAGCTAGACAGGTTGCTACCAGTAGCTAGTCAGCCAGCTAGTTGTTTTGCTAGCTGGTCCGGCAACCTGAATCACTGAAAACCGAAGCGGGATGCTGATTCTGGGCTTCGGGTTTGGCCGGGGTCCCTGGCATATACCTTAAAGAGCGGGACCCTTGTGAGCCCCGAGTAAGACACCTCTGACTCGAAGATTGAAGAAAGTGGTCTTGGATTGAAGGATCAAGTGGCATGAACGGCTCCATAATCCCTAAAACAACCCGGAGCTCGATGCCTTAAACCCTTGATTCCTTGGTTCTCCACCGGAAATGCTGTAAGTCAAGGCATGAAACGGGTAAACCGCTATAGCCAGACCCCAAAGGGTTTAGGATTCTCCATACAAGATTGTAGATTTAGGTCTGGGTGCCAAGGTTCAGGGTTCAGGGTTGCAAGCGTAGACCCAGACCCCCGGGAGGATCTGGAAAGTAGATCCCCTAATTTTGGGGCCCTATGCTACTAAGGCTACTTTGTAGGAACCCCCATTAAGGGATCTACCCTAAACCCTAAAACCCTATAGATCCCTTAAAGGACCCTTAAAGGAACCCCATTAAGGGATCTACTTTTTGGATCCTCCCGGGGGTCTGGGGAGTTAGGACTCGGGGCACTAGGATGCAGGAGGATTTTGGAGAACCTCCTTCCGGAAAGCGACGGCGCAGTATCTCCCGACCAGATTGGCCACCTCCCACTCAGGCAGAGGGTCGTTTGAGGGTTCAGAGTTTAGAGTTTAGGATTTAGTTTAGGGTTTAGGGCTTAGTGAGCAAGGACAGACATGAACCAGAAATCAGAAAAAGACAAAGTAACCCCTAAACCGTGAAACATAAATCCTTAACCAGCAACACCCTGGACCCTAAACCTATCTCCAACCGTGCTGAACTGAGCAGGGCAACCGCACATCATTAAACTCCAGAGGTTGAGGACCGAGATCAAGGGTTTCGGGTTTTCAATGTTCAAGGGTTTGAATATTAGGGTACACACTTATCCCTATCAGCCTAAAGCCTAATCATTGAACCCCGAAACCCTGGAGTACCAACACTTAAGCCTAAACCCTCTGTACAGTAAAGCCCAATCTTGAAGACCCCATCGATCCCCGGGCCTCAAACGTAACACCACAAACCCTAAAACCCCAAACCTGAGTTCGTAGAGGACCTGAACTTCAAACACCAGCCTGAAAAAGCAAACAAATCAAAAACCAAACAAGCCACTCAACCCGGGTTGGAAAAGAAAAGCCACGAAGAATACAACAACTCTAAACCCTAAACCCCACACCCTAAACCCGAAACCCTAAACCCAAGAAAAAGACAAAGAGGTTGAGCCCTAAACCCCAAACCCAAACCCTGAACCAAAAGAGACACAAACCCTAAACCAAAACAAAAGACAACCCCGAAAACAAACACAACAAAAAGACAAAGAGATCTGAACCCTCAACCCTGATCCCAAAAAAGAAACCTGAGAATTTTAAGAAAAACACTAAAACAACAAAAAAATAAAAAATAAAAAAAAAACATCAGGTCTCAGGCGCCCGGGCCTGGCCATACCTGGCGCTGTCCAGGCCACGGCGCATGACGCTGACACCAGGACCCACCTGGGAGTTTGCGAAAATTGGGTACCTTAGGGTTCCTTTAAAGGGTTACCATAAGGGCTCCTTTAAAGGGTTACTATTAGGGTTCCTTTAAAGGGTTACTATAAGGTGGAAATTGGGTTTAGGGTTTAACCGTTTAGGGGTTTAGGGTTTAAGAGCTTAGGGACTCAGGATTCAGGGGTTGAGGGTTCCGGGTTCTGCCGCAGGGTCCATGGTATTGGGTTATACCAGCATGGAAGGCTTTGAGAATTTCTGGTGTTCTTAGGGCTTTGGGGTTGCGGGATGCGGGGGGTTGGGGTTCTTAGGCTTCTGAGCTATTTTGGTTAGGGGGCAATGGCTCTTTCTCTGCTTCTGAGTTTCGGGTTTAGGGCTTCGGGGGGTCTCAGGGCTCTTAGGGGCTCTGGGTTTTGAGGCTCTTGGGGGCCTCAGGGCTCTTTTGCGGTTGAGGGCTTGGGGTTTAGGGTTTAGGGGTTTAGAGGTTTAGGGTTTAGCGGTTTAGGGTTTAGGGGGTCTAGTTTTTCTTTTGGGTCCTTACGAGAATGAGGATCCTAGTATTTAGGGTTTATCCGGCAGGGAGACTTTCCAACGCAACGCCCGGAAGTCGAGCATTCACCGGATCAGTTTGGGTCTCTACTCGCGGGGGCGGAGGCCTTAGCTATACCTCCGCTATAAGGGCTTTACATAGGTTGTTGTATGTTTTATAAGGGTTAGGGTTAGCATCGGAAACCCCCCGAGAACCGGACCCAGTGCACCAGCACATGCTTCGTCAGACCGTGGATCGTGCGCCTTGGCACACGACACAAACGAAAAAGAGACATCACACAAGCTCAAACTGGTAGTCTAAGATCTAGGTGCTAAATTTTTAACCGTCTGAAATCATGTAGATGATGATACTGTACATGCATATAGAAAGATTCACCATCAGATGAGTCCAGGATTGTAAACTCCATTGCAGGTATCCTGCTGCTTGTCACCTCTGCTTCTTGCAGCACTATCTGAAGACGCGCAGATATATACACACAGAAGACGAATGAGCCTGGCTGTGTTGATCGAACCTACATGATGGTTCACTGCGTTGCTCCATATTACTCCGAAAATACAGCTTTTGCGTCTTCACAACAGCCACTGTCAGGTCAGACAGTATTCAACTTTCGACAAAACGACGTTTGCATGCAATCGATGCCAAATGGAGCACAATGCTTGCCGGACTCTGGACTGGGCTTCTTGGTTCACTCTGTTTGTTATTCTGCTTGATCTTAAAACATTGGCACCGATATCAGAAACAGACTGCAATCATCGATGACGGAATGTTCATGCTACTCAGAGGGATAACCATGATTCATAAACAAATCCTGCGCTGATTTGGGGGAAGCCGACTTCGGCTGCCTCCGCACTAGATTAGGGCCAAAACCCTACAGCCGAAGCCTAAGCCCTGAATCCCAAGCCCGAGAACCTGAGCCGCAACCCAACACCCTGAACCCGAAACCCTAGAACCCCACATAGAACCCTTGCAGGGTCCCTAAAAGAAACCCGAAACCCTAAACCCTACCCCTCATTGACCCCTGGCCCCCAACTAGTCCACATGACTCGAAACCCTGAACCCAACCAGTGGTGGGTAGTCAACATGGCCGCTCTCCTCAAGGGCCCACGAACTCAGAGGGTCCTGCCCTGTGTCGTTGCAGAGGGAGCCGCCTCGGCGACGTGGGCATGAGGTTTAGGGTTTAGGGTTTCTCAAACTTACGACGTTACGACCAGGATCCTACTTAGGACTTAAGGTTTGGGGTGGTATTCCTGGGATTGGAGGTGTTGGGCTTTGGGACTACACTGAGTACTCAAACAGTTGGATAGTGTCAAAACTTTCCGAAGTATCTTTTGGCTTCGGGTCTGCAGCTCACCTTGGAAAACGAAAGCCCCGAACTGTCAGTTAGGGTTTAGGCTTCAGCACAGCGCACAGATTAACAAGAGTCTTTGAATTCGGGCGTCGCCTCTAGAAGTGAGGCTTCGGAGCGCAGAACAGTAGCCCAGCCAAAGGTACTCCATCGACACGCTACCGGAATAGCTTCCCTCAAGTTGTCCTCCCTGCAAAGCGCAAATCTAAACCCCGACCCGCAGACTTATTTTACACCCTGAGCTTTGAGCCCCGAAGCCCCGAATCTCAAGCCCGAAAACTTTACCCTCAAACCCTAAACCCTTAAAACCCTAGAAGTTGAAACCTGGAACCCCTGGAACCCCTGGAAACTTGCATGTTAAACCCCAAACCCTGCAAGCCTCAGAGCGTAAACCGTGAATCGATGCTCGACTTCGAGTTCTACTCAGAAACTCCGGAGCCGAAGCCCCTTCATTAAGCAACATACCTTACACCGGGTGAAGGATCCCTCTATAAGTTGAAGCGTTATCTTGAAAATAGCCTTTATCTGCACCATAGAAACCCTACAAGACCTGAAAACTCTTGATTACCGGGTTTTCGAGTGCCGAGGCCACCACCGAACGTCATGCGCAGCACGCCGAACAGGACTCGCTCGCTGGCCAGGTGCTCCTCAGACAGCCAGGCGGGATTCGGGTTGAGGGGGCTGGGGGTTTGGGGGCTATTTTGAGCTAAGGCTTGAGGGTTACAGGGTTTAGGGCTCCCAAAACTTAACTAGGTTTTGAGGCTTCCCCCTTGCATCAGAAAGCAAATCCCAGCAAAACCAAGTCTTGGTTTTGAGGCTTTTCCCCTGCAACAGACAGCAGACAGACAAACAGACAGACAGACTGACTGACTGGCAGGCTGACAGCCACAGACTTACAGACTGGCAGACAGACAGACAGACAGACAGACAGACAGTACATACACACGCATATACATGCATGAAACATGCAGCCAGACACTGCCATGCACTAGTCGATGCAACTGTGTAGTGTTACAAGTTCGCTACAGCATCGACGGGAAGAGTGTCGCAAGTACAGCGTTACTAATCATGGCAGACATACATACATAAGACATACATACATACACACATCTACATACATATCTGCACCGTCCTGCAACTCGTCGAATCCGCCTTGGCCGGCCTTGTACAGGCACAGCCTGCACGGGCAGTCTCACAACTGCACGAACACCACGGCCTTTGTAACTAGAGTTGGGTTTACGGGTATGTTACATCATATTGCATAGACAAAAGAATCCGAAGGAATAATGTCGGCAATACTTCCGACCCTTACACTATCTCTTGGCGTTTAGGGTCCGGGGCTTTTGGCTTTAGGGTTTAAGGCTTTAGGGGTTTGTGGTGTAGGGTGTTATGGTTTAGGTGCACTAATGAGGTGATGATACTACCGTAGCAGGTCTGCTTGGGAAATTCTTCGTTGCGAGGATTGGAAGCGGGAAGCTTTTAGGAGTTCTGGGGCCTAAACCCAGAGACTCCAATATCCCTTCATTAAAGGGAATCAGGGAACCCTAAACCCGGATGGGTGGCGACAGCAGTGCTGCTCGAGATCAGCTCAAGAATGTGCAGCAGATCCGAGCTTCTTCATGGGCGCTTGCTGGCATTCTCTGCGATCATTTCGCTGCAACCTGGGGTGACTTACATGAGTGGTGACAGCAGCGTTGAACAAGATCAGCTGAAGGAAGCGCACAGGTCCAGGGCCCTTTGAGTGCTTTCGCTGCTGTTCGTGGCGACGGATCCGTTGTGCCTGGAGTGATTGTCACGATGGCGGTGGCACTAGTTCTATGCCGGATCAGCTGCAACAAGTGCAGCAGATCCAAGCCTTCAGCGAAAATCCACCGAATACTGCGAGCTGCGGGTCTGGCTCGACAAACATCAAGGCTGGCAAACTTGTTGCCTGGGGCTGAAATCCCTTGTGGGAATGGCGCCCAAGACCTTTCCAAGGAGAGGCAACTTTAACTGAGAAACTGTGTTTTTCGGAAAGGAAGGGCTGCATAATCAGTTAATCGAGGGTTTCCACATCACATAACTTGCTGTGTCTTATCCAGATCTCGGGCCTGTGTCAGAACGGTGAACGGGCTTCGAGATGATGTTCAACCACTCTTCAGATGCAACCACCACTAATCAGCTAGCCTTGACGACTACCTTGAACTACCTTTGTCAAAGCACCGCTGCACCGATCTCCTCGTAGGTCCGTAGAGTAGGAACCTCGAGCCCCGACAGAGCACAACATGTCCTGAGCGCGCACCTCCCCGATCTACTAAGCGGGATCTCCCGAATGCCTACATCCCCCAAAACCCTAAACCCCTAAGACCCTCAATCCCAAAACTCCCAAACCGCAACACACTCAATTCCTCAGCCCCCCTATGTAAAGCCAACAAGCTCTCAAAGCACCTTACACCCCAAAGCGCTAAAGCCTAAGAAACCCTAAACCCGACACCCTCAACGCCTTGATGGGTCGATGAGGACCCAGTTGAAGAAGCCCTCCTCTGATGCCACCTCCTGCATGGCCTTTGGGTTTTGGCCGTGCGGCTTTAGAATTGAGGAAGGATTCTATCAGGGTTCGATGACATGGACTTCATTCTTTGGGCTTCGCGCTTTAAGGTCTCGCGGCTGTGGGGTTAAGGCGACGATGAGCTTAGGGTTTACCCTAAACCCTAAACCTTAAATCCATAACCCCTAAACCCTAAAGGGTTTACGGGTTTCAAGCGGATCGTAAGGCTTTCGTCTCATGAGGGCTTCTGCAAGGCTTTGGGGCTCTCGGGTTGAAGGTTTCCCGAATCCCCACTGTAAGCTCTGAAGCCTAAACTAAGAGATACAATGTTAGAGTCCTCTCCTCTTGTGTCTCTTAGGGTTTAGGCTTCAGGGCTAAGGGATTCGATTATTAGAGATTGTTCAAGCCCCTATACTTTGTTGTTCGATGGGAGCAGCTTCAAGCTTTCACAACTTCCGCTACACGGAGCTTAGGAGCATACTTGGAGAGTTTCTAATGTCACCGACCAAAGTCAGCAAACCCCGACAGATTCTTCGACTTCCAAAGTCACGCTGAACCAGTGCTACCCTCAAGCCTTTATGAACCCTAAACCCCTGCCCCAAACCCTGGTTTAGAGCTTAAGGTTATAGGGTTTTCAGGCTTTGGGTTTAGAGTTCCGACATCCCAAACCCCCAAAGTTAAGCTCTTGCCCCTACGTCGATACCTCCTGCAGGGTCACGTCGCTCGCCCCGCGAACGGCACGAGCTGTGGGAGGCCTGAGCAAGAGCTCGGATATCCTTGTGCTATACAAGCATATAATATGGTCTACAATGCCAAATTATCATAGCACAAACTCAATCGCAGAGTCTGGAAGACTTTGTGTGCCTGAAGAGGGATTGGCCCAATCATCTGCTCTCTCGCAAGAAAAGGCTAAACTCGCGCCAGCTGCAATGAAACTATTTCGTGGTGAGTCCCAACTTGAACGGAACACGAAGCCTGAACCCAAGAACCAACACTCCCTTGAGCCTCCTAAACCCTAAACTCTATGAACTCCGGCCAGAACCAGAGAAGAACAACTGTGCTGCAGCGGCGCACAGAAAAGATCGAAAGACCACCACTGCAGAGGCCGTCACTCAAGCGTTGGCAGGGGCGGAGGCAAGACGCCCTCAGTCTCTCGCGTCTCCTTTGCTTTAAATAGGGGGGCTCGGCTATGGATATGCGGCTTCAGGGAATAGGGTTAAAGGCGTATGGCTTATAGGCTTGGGGATGTAGAGCGTGGTAGGCATTTCGAGCCTCGGGCATTTGGGTGACAATGACGGTGGTCGATTTTCAGCTTTAAGGGCTTAGGGTTTAGGGATTCGGGTTTGGGATTTGCTGTAAGCTCTAGACATTGGGGCACCGCCATGGTAACCCTAAATCCTATCCTAAACGGGCCTAAACCCTAACTCAACTCCAACGGTCATCGCCGCCCCGACTTTTCGTCTGTGGTTTCTATTCTTGGTAACCCTTGTTAGTGCGCCTTCAAGTAACCACTATGCAGTCACTATGCCCAAACCACCGATTTCCAAAACACTTGAAGGTCCTACAAACCCCTTCTGCCGCTGAGCGCACCCAGAACCCTGCCTTAAACCTTAAGTGTCTAGGTTCTAGCGGTCTGCGTTTAGGTTTGAGGGTTTATGAGGGTTTTGTGTTCAAGGTTTCAGGGTTTTGCATTTAGGTTTAGGGTCTAGTGTTTGAGGCGTAGGGTGTTGTGCTTAGGGTTTCGGGTTTAGGCCAAAACATAAAACCCCCAAACCAACAGCACCCGCAGCGCACGTGACAAAAAGAAACAGGCAAGAGGGGCTTTGCGGATCTGAGATCCCTTCAGCCTCCGAGAACTGCTCGAATTCACAGGCCACATTCCGAAGCCCTGAAGCCCCAAACGCTCAAAATCCCTGTCAAGAAGTCCTGCAAGGGGGCCTCTGCGCGCTGCTGTGATGCCTTGACCTCGGCTAGTTAGGGGTCTCTTTTCGCGAGAGGACCGGACTAGGATTAATAGCGCCACCTCAAGCTCATGGTGAGAAGACTGGGCTGACGATGTCTTGTGTGCAGATTATCGGACGGCATGGCACAGGTCTTGACAGGTTGAGCACCTCTGTTCGACATGTTCGGCCAGGACCGATGCCATCTTGTCGTATTCCGTCTTCAGTCCCTGCACAGCGGTCCAAGAGCACAAGCAAGGTCACCCTTAATGCACACGGCAAGACTGTACCAATGTAGCCAATGCTGCAAAAGCATGAATGTAACCATCTCAAAGCCGCAAAACCTAAAGCGCTACACCCCAAGAACATGAGGAACTCGATAAAAGGCATGACAAAATCTAGAGACCTCCCTTGCTTCGAACCCTGGATTAAGAAACCCCACGATACCACACAGATGATCCCTTGAGTAAGGATCCCTGACACCACAACCATGGAGCACCATAGGAGCCTAAATAATTAGAAGCTCGCTCCTCACTTTTCTTCCACCGCCCATTGTCGTCCGTGTGCCAGCCGCCGCATATGCAGCGATCAAAGAAAAAGGGCCGGAAGAGCCTCGACCCCTCTTTGCGCCAGGGCCGGGCGGGAGGGAGCAGCAAAAGCTTTACCAGAAAGAATCGGAACTCGCTTCTAGGGGTCAGAAGCTCGCTCCTCACTTTTCTTCCACCGCCCATTGTCGTCCGTGTGCCAGCCGCCGCATATGCAGCGATCAAAGAAAAAGGGCCGGAAGAGCCTCGACCCCAAACATCCCAGATCTGCCCGGCACACGGAAGAGGCCGATGGCCAAAGGTAGAACCAGCATCGGCTGGGAATATTGTTGTACGCCCAAGTCTGGGCCTGAGCAAGCATACCAGGGAAGCGCTGCGCCAGTTGGAAGACGTTCTCGCGGGCTTTGTCCGAAAGGTCTGCGACAAAGGTCGAAGCAGCAACTTCTTGAAGGTATATCTCCATAACCTTATGCGACGCCCAGCGCCCGCGCCGGCGGACCAATTCAGAATCTTCGGTCAGTTGGAGGAGGTGCGTGGCTCCTCCTGGTCGGAGGGAACCCAAGTCGAGGGAGCGACCTTGCTCGCCCGACTTGGGAATTCCCAGTCTCTCCAGAATGCTGTCCAGTCGCCGCCTCAAAGTCTGGTTGGCAAAAGGCCAAAGTTTAGCCTGCTTAGGCAGGGCGAAGAAAGCCAGGGAAGCAACTGCAACGAGGTTGCTCTGCTCCAGTTTCGCAGCCTGGTGTTTCGCGGCACGGCCGCAGGTCTTCGGTTGGTCGATCTTGATCAGCACGAACGATTGCATGTTCAGGGCATCTGCAGGAAACACCAGGTGGCGCCTCGTAGCGTTGGTCGCCTCTGAGATTCTCAAGAGGGCACCCCAGGCCAAAGCAAATAGCCCAGCTTCTCTGACCCAGCCCCAAGCCAAGCACGAGGCAATAATGGCAATCAGCACCAGGGGTGGCATCGCAATATGGTGTGTGGAAGGTTCCTCAGCGAGCCAGGTAAAAGCGAGGTCCCATGCAGCTTGGCAGGATCTCCTCAGGCCTGGCTTCGTCGCCGTCAGGGCGTTGATGGTCTCAGAAAAATGCCAGTAAGGGCGGCCGCTGTTATAAAGGTCCCTGCCGAAAATTACCAGAAGTTCGACAAGGGCCTCGGTGTCGAGAGGCCTCCTTTCCAACATAGTCTCGAGGGAGGATCCCTCGGTTTCCAGAAGCCATTGCGAAAACCCTGAAAGAAGAAGAGCCCTCCTAGAAGAAGTGGTGGCCTGCACCGGACGGCCGGAAGGGAGAGGATGTAGGCGGCGATCAAGGCGGCGGAAGTCATCGGCATTCCGAGGGGTAAGCATCCCGAGGGAGCCTGGCAAGAGGATAAGAAGAAAAGCCCATTTGCAGAAAGGTGGGCCTTCACCGGGAAATCCAAGAGTGGAGTCGAAGTCACGGTGGCACAGCGGCGTGATAGGAGAAACTTCGGGGACTGCCGCAAATCTCGAGTCCGAAGGGAAAGCCCGAAGGGCGCTGACCAAAGTGGCCAAGGGCGAAAGTGTCAAGGAGAAGGGCAAGTCTAACCCAACCCGCGCGCGGCCGGGAAAGATTGCCGAGGCTGCTCAGAGAGCGGAGGGCCTCGCGAGACAGCGCAGAGCGAGGAGCCGGAAGGGAGCCGCAGAGGGGCATCGCGCGTCGGATCGTCGGAGGGATTCCATCTTGTGGGGCCGAAGAATGCTCATATAGAGGCCTCCGGCGATGACGGTCGAGCCGACCTTCTTGAGAGGAGCGCGGAGCAACCGTGCAGAAGATCTCCCTTTGCGGTGCGAGCCGACAACAACAAAGGAGTCGGAAATGAAGGCGCTCCTGCGGTCCCCCCCTCTCAGGGTGGCGTCCTTGTACACACAGAGAGCCGCGTTACTTTCGTATACGTTTATGTGCTTGCGTGAATCCCAGCTCCAGGCAGCACCCAACTCCCATCGGGAGGTAAGCAAGACGTCATCGACAAGGATGGATTCCAGGCCTTGGAGGAGGCAAGGTGCTGAACCGAAGGCTTGGCGACCCCGTACACGTGGGCGCCTACGAAAGCGCAGGCCGGCTGGTAGGCATCGCCGAGGAGGGCGATAGAAGAGCGGAACCACGAAGCACCGGGCCGTTCCAGAAAAGCCCTAATCCAAGGCAGGTCGGTGACGAAAGAGCCGGGAGAGACTCTCAAGAGGCACGGGGTGCCAAGACGGCGGCACAGCTCCAGGAGCACAAACGCTCGGCCGACTAGACTGTTCTCAACCCGAACCTTCCTAGGCCTAGGCAGGAAACCTAGGGGGCAAAGCCTACTCCTAAGGCGGGGTCGGGAGGCACGGCTCAGGGATCCACCGGGGAGCTGAACAAAGATGCTCCTGACCCTCCGCCTCGAAACGAGGTAGGTGAGCCACTCGGCAACGTGAGGCTGAAGCAAGTCAAGCTCAGGGCTGTTGGCAATGGAGACCCAGGGCCCAACACGAAGACCCGTCTTGGAGACCTCAGCGGAGAGGGAGCCAGAGGGCGAAAGGAGCTCAATGAAGTCGTAGTCCATGCCGAGGGGCCTCTGCTTTGCAGGCCCGGGGCCGTAGGCAGAGAGCCGCAGAGGGATCATCATCGAAGGCATCATGATGCCTTCGCCCTCACTGGAGGGCTCCTTTCGGCTGGAGGTGAGTCTGGTGTAGTGGCCCTTCTTTGCCCCGGCGTGCCAAAGGGCTTCGGCAAACTCTGTGCTGACCTTCGTGGCGCAGAAGGCTCCCTTCCTGAGCGAAGCGTCGGCACAGTAGACTGGTGTCGTCGTAAGGTACCGCAATGTTGCTGGCCAGGAGGGGAGCACAGGCGGCTAGAGTGCCGAGTTCGTCGGCCGCCTTCCTCGGGAGAGCTCGGGCGGAGCTGTCGGTCGAGGTGGGGCTTTTCGCAGCAAGCTTGAAGGCAGTGTCGAGGAAACAAGAGAAGGGCCTGCGAAACTGAAGGTAAGAGACCCAGGCCCCGAGGAGCGAAGACATCAGGTCTTCCGATGTGACCGGGCAGGCCGCAGCCTTCAAGGTGACATAGGAAAGTGCAAGGCGGCGCTGGAGGGGGGCGCCCACAAGGACGGCGCCTTGCTCAACAAGGGAAACTTCAGAGTTCACCTCGGCACCTGCAACAGTGAAGAGGAGGGAGCCCCAGTTATCCTTGTGGTCTGACCCGGCAAGGCCGGCGTGCTCGTAGGCGAGCTTCGCCTGGGCTATGCAAGCTGATGCCTCGGTTTTGCGGAGCCGCTCGGCCAAACGCTCGCCGCTTAGGCCTCGTAGTTCCTTGGCCGGCACCTCGCTCACGGCAAAGTAGTCGTCTATCACCAGGGCCTCGATGCAATCTTGCAGGGGGGTTGGCACCTGAGAGTCGAGGAGAGCCTGGTGGCTGTAGCGTACTCTACGCCACCGTGGTCACCCTGGAGGATGGCTCGGAAGGAGCCGCAGACTAAGGGGTCCTGGCCAGTGAGGTCAGCAGCCCGCTTCCCTATCTGACCCCAAACATGCAATGGTCGAGGCAAGGAAGTCGCAGTGGGCCCGGGTAGCTTTGAAGGAAGAGAGGCGGAGCGGGGGGCCAACGCAGTTGGTGCTCGCTCGTTGGGCGGTGGCCCGGATCTGGTGGTAGTAGTCGCTGCGGTCTGTGCTTGCGCCGCACAGTGCAAAACCCGGCCGGACCGAGAGCGAAGCCAGCAGGAACCCTTGGGGCAAAAAGCCGGAAACCCCAATCACTCCACCTTCGAGGGCGTTGGGGCCCCTGCGGTCACCTATCATCCAGGTGGGTGACTTGTACGACCCAAAGACCCGGCATAGCTCCTTCGGGTCGGCAGGGGCAGGGGTGATCTGGAGGAGGCTTAGGGAATCCCAAAGGTCGAAAATCCTTAGCATTTCGTCCCTGCTTTCCTTGCCAGTGTCGGGGTAGGGCAGGGCGTTCTCAGGGATGCCTCTAAGCACACAAGGCTCCCGGTAGGGCATAAGGAGCTCGGGTCCTAAGTAGGGGCTTATATCGCAGTGGCCTCTCCCCTGATCAGGAGGCGGTCAGCGACCGCGTCGCGGGGGACCGTCATCGTTCCGCGGGACCCGGCCCCTGACCTCAGTGCTGCCAGGATAGGGGGCTTGGGAAATTCCACACCGTTCCAGGTAGTTTGGAGGTCATCCAAGCGTGCAACATGGTGGAGGCCGCGCCGACCTGAAGCAAGAGGAAGTCACAGGTCTGGCGCGAACTCGCCTCTATAAACAACCTCAGCCTGGCAAAGACTTTGCGCTGCACAGGCCGAGAGTCAGAGTGGACATGGTTCAGGGCCATCACGGCAATGTGCAAGGATGTGTCGATGAGGGTGCCAAGGCGGAGAGCACGTCTCGCAGAACGGCTGCGCAACTCCAGGCCAGCTTTGCCGAAAGCACCGGGGCAGGGCACAGGCAAAGGGAAGAGAGCGGTAGGAGGAGGCGGCTCCCCCTCGTGGAAGGCAATCGAAAAGGAAGACCGCAGCAGTCGGCTGAAGCGGGTCTTCGCGGCCAAAAGCAGCCTAGGGAGGGCTGCGGCCCACTTGATAAAATTTATTTTTTCCTCAAAGGCACCGGCGCGGCTGGAAGATGCGTCAGGAACCTCGGGAGGCGTGCAAGGTCGGGCGGTGGACCTCAGGAGTCCTGGCCGCCCTTGGCTTTCTTTGCTGCCCACAGTTGGGCTCGGAGCTGCTTCCTGGACAAGGTCGCTTCGGCGGCGTCGGCGCCGGGATCGGCCTTCGTAGGAGCAGGCTTCGAGGGGGGCTTTGGCTTTGTCAGCTCCTCCCTCTTGCAAACGCCAGTGTTGTGGCTAGCATGCGCTGGTCCGCCAGCGGGGGAGCGTGGTTGTAGCTGTGGTGGGCCTCTCCAAGAACAGGCCGTTCGGAGGATCTGGCAGATGAGTCAAAATCGGGGGTCCGGTCGAGGGTGGCCTGCTCCAGGAACACCATAAGAAGGGAGATGGTGTCGGCAGCGCCACGGGCCTCCCCCGTGGGGCTAGGCTTTGTAAACGTTGCTTCCCCTCCGCTGCAAAAAAGTCCATAGCTATGGCACATTGCCACTGGGCAAGGCCCATGGTCCGATCCTTGGAGTACCCGCCGAACCTTTCGAGATACTGCGTCATGGTGCCCGACGAGACGGGAACCGAGGCAGAGCCAGAGGCGCCTGGTAGCACGGAGGGATCCATCCTCCTCGCAGCTGCGAGGAGCCGGACAGAGGTGCGGAAAGCAGCGGCCGGCCGGTCGGCACAACAGGAGGGGTCGGAGATGCAGCCGGTACCTCGGGGCTGGGGCCTGGGGGAGCTTTTGCCTGGTTCTCGGCCAAGTTCTGCACCTGTTTTTAGTAGAGAAACAACCAGGTCTTGCAACACGCCCTGTTGGGCCGCGAGGCCAGCCAAAGTGATCTTCTTTGCCTTTGGGTCGGCCCCTCTCACCTTTGGCTGCCTGCCCAAAGTCGGGCCTTCTCCGCCTTCCGGGGCCGGTGGCTCCTCGGCTGTAACATAGCCGTTCGCCCCTCGATCCCCTGGCCGTGTTCTCAACCAAGCAATTGCGGAGGCAACGACCTCGAGAGCAATGGTGTAAAGCGTAGGGTCCGAGGGGTCGAAGGCCACGAAGTCTAGGACAGAACCTGTCAGTGGAGACAGGCTTCCACACACAGCAGCGTCGAAATCCACGACCCTCACCTGCAGTTGCCTCGGAGGGCAAACGGTAGCCCACTCCCCGGACTCGGTAAGGGAGATCGCTTTGCAGGTCAGGGCCAGGAAGGGACCGACGAGGCCCGGGTGACCGGCGGCTTCGGCAGTCGAAAGGGCCGGCTCTGACACGGCGGCAGAAGGGAGCGCCAGAAGGCAGCCGCCAGGGCGCTTTAACACACAGTAGCAAGCACAAGGCGAGGAAAGGCATTCCTCAAGAGCAGGGTCGCTCGAGGGGTCGAGCACCAAGACGTCGACACCTCCAGCCTCGGCGGGAGAGATGGCGTCCAGCTCCATTGGGTCAAGGCCCGGGCAAGTGGGTTCGGATGCCGGCTGCGTCCAAGTAGACCCGACACTCGAGCTCGGAAGGGAAGGCCTGAGAAAGGGTGATCCTCTGCCTCAAGTGGTCAACTGCAATGAAGTAATCGCGCCTGCTGCTGTAGATCTCAGGAGGGGATCCGTTGGCAGAGCGGGCTACCGCGTAAAACCTGTTAGGGATGCTAAGGGGAGGAGTCGGCACAGGAAACCGGGCCCTACCCTCTAGAACCTCTCTAACCCAAAGTCCGGCAACCCAAGCACGCCTCACACGCTCGCTTCCAGAAGCGCCTGATGCACGGAGGGCCTTAGAGGCCAGCAGCCAAGCGGAAGGAACCTCGGGAAAGCTCGCTTCGACCTCGGAGGGAGGGAGAGGGCGGGAAGCACGAGGCGGAAGGGATCGGGAGGAGGCTGAGCCGGAAGAGGCAGCAGGCTCTTCTCTGCACACGGGTTCGGGATTAGGGTTGCAGGCCTTAGGGCAGGGCGTCGAGCCAATTCCAGACTCGGATGGCAGGGGTTCAGGACTAGGGGCAGAAGAAGTCCCTGGGGCCCGGCTCCGGGTCACAGAGATGGTAAGACCTTGCAGTTGGAGGGAAATCTGAGTGATATCAGAATCACCCTCAGTGCCCATACAACGCAAGGCGGTTGCTCGAGGAGTGTGCGGAGGGCCTCTGTTGAGGCAAGGGAGCAGGAGGACGGAAGAAGGAAGCCCTGAAAATCCACAAGGTCAGGCCAGCACCGGAGATGGCACCAAGGAGAAAAGTGAGGATGATCAAGGGGCTGTCCGGCTGAGAGCAGTAGATCGGGCAACGATATCCCCACAAGTTTGAACGCGCACCCTCAAGGATGAACCAAAGCCACTCTACCCCAGGGGGTCCCATCGAGCAGCAAAAGCTTTACCAGAAAGAATCGGAACTCGCTTCTAGGGGTCACCAACAGTCTTCTGGGGTTCCTTAATATAATTATGGTATAATGGGTCCCAAAACCCTGTGCTAATTCTTAAGGCCCCCATAATATAGTACCCTTATTATAAGTCCCTAGAGTAGCCCCTATAGACTATAGAACCCTTTAAAGGAACCCTATTCTTATTAGTAAGGCCCCCATAATACGGTACCCTCATTATAGATCCCGATAGTAGCCCCTGTAAAGCCCTTTAAAGGAATCCTATTCTGATTACTAAGGCCCCCTATAATATAGTACCCCTATTATAATTCTCTTATTATAGATCCCCTATACTAGCCCCCATAGACCCCCTTTACAGGAACCCTATTCTGACTACTAAGGCCCCGATATTATCCCTCCATCAAGGGGATTGCGGGCGCCTGCAAGGAGTACTCCATGTGGTCTGTGGAGAAGACGGGCAGAAGGCGCTGGCATCAGGGGCGGCTTAGGGTTTAGGGCTTTAGGGGTTTTTTAGGGTTCAGGGTTCAGGGTTTAGGGTTTAGGGTTTTAGGGCTTTTAGGGTTTAGGGTTGTTTAGGATTTAGGGTTTACGGGGCGAGTCGAGCCCGTCGCTTCGCAGCTCGCAAGAAGGAACTTGGGGCTTTAGGGTTTGGGCCTGGGCCCAAACTCGACACCCCAAAGAATGGAGTTAATGATTTACGTCTGAGTCTTCAGCTCGAAAAACCCTGATGATGAAAATCCAGACCTCTTTTCTTCAGAAGTCGCATAGGATGCGCACCTCGCACAGGTAGTCCACAGTCAATTCCTTTCCGGAAGCAACCTGATGTGCAAACGACCCAATCAGGAACCGGTTTGAGTCCACAAACGTTGCGGTGTCTCGAGTTCTTGAATCGACAAGGTCGTGTGCATTCCCGCCAAGCCGTTCTCTATGCACTGTAGTTTGTCGTGTTACCTCTCTCTCTCTCTCTCGCTCTCTCTCTCTCTCTCTCTCTCTCTCTCTCTCTCTCTCTCTCTCTCTCTCTCATTCTCGCAATCTCTCATGCTCTTTGATTCGGACGTTGAATGTGTCAACCGTTCGATCCCCAAGCAACGAGAAATCCACATGAAAGGGGCCTGCAGACTTGCGTTGACCTCGCCGAGCTGGCGAAGGACCTTCCAAGGATAGATTCGGACCACATGCGACATGCGATCCTGCAGGCAGCTTGCGTGTACACTGCTGATGCTGCTGGCATGCACAGAGCACCACCGCATCAGGGCGCAAATGAACGTCAGCACATAAGACACTGGGCCCAACGGGTGAGCTGTGAGCTTGCACATGCGCGACATTTCTCCGTAGTGGCCTACTCTCTCAGGCCTTCCAATTTTGGGGGACCTTTAGTCCATCCCCCCGGTAGTGTTGCATGGCACGATGTTGCCTTGCCGGAACCGACCAGCGAAATGAGTTGAAATAAGTCTGTCGGCTGCCTTGGGTCAGCTGTACCAAGCCTCCCCAGCTGCAACGACAGCGGGCCAGGGAGAGCTGTTGCGCTTTCCAATAGAGTCTCAGCTGTCTTGCTCGAGGCAACTTCTTGATGGATTGCTAGACCTTCGCTTCGAAAAGGGTACCCACCCAAATGCAGTTTGCCTGCCGCGGCAAGCCGGTGGACTTTAAAGTTTAGGGTCCTGGTGCTTGTTCCCAAGTCCCAGGAGAGTAGAACCCCAAAACCTAAAATTCTGAACCACCCAGAATAAAGCGGTCTGCAGGCCTTCTCATATCCCCTTGCAGTCCCTAGATATTTACCCCCAAACCTTAAACCCTATAAAAACCGTCCGAGGTCACCAAAAATGCTATGACACCCAGAACACTCAAACCCTTATTCTAACTGACAGGGCCCCTAACCAAAGCTTTACAGAACTCAATTTCTCCACAAGAAACGATGAAGGCCCTAAAGTAGCTACTTTTCGGGCTTTAGGCGTGGGTCGAGGTTGGGATCTCAGTGCTTCCTAAACCCTAAACCCTAAACCCTAAACCCTAAACCCTAAACCCCAAACCCCAAACCCTAAACCCTAAACCCCAAACCCCAAACCCTAAACCCTAAACCCTAAACCCTAAACCCGTCGGCCTCCTGACTCCTGGCGTTCAGCAGCCCCCTCTGGATGACCTTCGGGCTTCACTTGAGGAAAGTACAGGGGATTCGAATCCCAACTTTCAATAACTAGGCGATAGGTTTAGGGTCAAGAATAGTTGGACGGCGGGTTCTGCGGGTGCTTTTTGCTCGGATTTATTCGGGTCAAAGAGGGTTCTTGATCGGGGTTTAAGTAGCTGCCAGTTCCAGGAATCGTGATGTGACATAGATGACTGGTTCTGAGTCTGGCTACTTGCTCTAGTCCGACGGAGGTTTAGAATTCTAGGTTGCCTCATAGGACTTCTTGCTTCGGGCTTGCAGGGGTTAACACTGAGCCAGAAAGCCCTAAACTCCCAAAGCCTCTACACTACACCTCGCAAGGGAAATCCCAGGCAAGTGGGGACCCCAGCCTGAGTCTTGATGCCATTCAGATGGACCAGGACCATCTTCGTCCTCACCTCGGCCAGACTGGCTTCGGTCACGATTCTCGCGTGATTGCTCCGATGACGATATGCATGTACTGACAAGAACTACGCCTGCATGGGCTGAAGCGCCCAACCGTCGTTGCGTGATTTGTCGTCCCCACCAAGCCCTCCACCCAACCCCTGAGCTCACACAAAGAGTAATTCCGATCCTGCCAAAATATTAACAAACGCTTGCATCCTATGTGCCCTGAGTCACTATGCCCCAACCCCAAGATATGATACGCCCCAACTTTGATTTTGAACACCCTAAGCCCGCTACAACCTGAACCATGTGCCCTAAAAACTCTAACGCAAGGAAGACCCTAGCCCCAAACCCCGAATTCCTGAACCCCGAAACCCGAAAGCCCAACAACCTCCGTCGGGATGTAGGCCTGATACAGGATTGTGCCACAAAAAACAAATGTGAACAAACTCACTGACCGGCGAATATGTACGTCTGTATGTATGTACATATGTACGTCTGTATGTATGTACATATGTACGTATGTACGTATGTACGTACGTACGTACGTACGTATGTATGTATGTATGTATGTATGTATGTTTATGTGAATACACATATAACACATGTATATACACATATTCTCACAGATGTACCAATCCAATCACAACAAAAATCGGACGGGCGGCAAAGGTGCCGCCGCCAACCTGAAAGCGAAGAAGGGCCCAGGCCACCTCAGAGCTTTTTGCTTGACGGGGAGGGGAGAGGTTCAGGGTTCAGTTTAGGTTTTGCGTTTGCCGTGGAGTAGCACGTCGGCGACAATTGCTTACGACAAGGCTGCATCGAGTGCATCGTACCATGGCTATGAGCGCTCAAAGCCTGCCTGTCGAAAGCGTTTCTTTCTTTCTCTCCCCACCCCTCGCCGTATAAGGCGGCTAAACCATGCAAACCAACTCCGTTTAGCGTTTAGGCCCAAACTCGTGCAGAGGAGTGCTTTCCTTCTGTTCTTCTGTAGCAGCCGGCGTGTTTTCGCTTTCTTGGCTCTGCGGACTCTCCGAAATCCTGAACCCTGGAACCCCGGAAGCCCCGAACCCAAACCCTAAGCCTTGCACCCAACCGTCTAGACCAACCCTGACTCGGAAACCAAAAGCCCTAAACCCGAAAGTACCTAAAACCCCCTGAAGACTAAACCTAAAACCGTCAACGCCCTTGTTCAAACTCCTTAAAGCCTAAACCGTAAACCCAATACTTCACTTTGCAAGACGGTGTGCCTTCGCGCGAGTTCAGACAGCATGCCCCCCCTAAAAAACGGATCAATACTTGAACCCTAAACCCTAAACCCCCAATACTTAAGCGGAAGCCGACTGCTCCGGCTTTGCCGGGCCCCCACACAGTGGAGTCATCGAGCTGACGGCGGAGCTCCTGCCCAACACACTGACGAGTTCCTTTCTTCTCGATATCTTATGTGAGGGCCCTATATGGGGTATGGGGAGGGGGGGGTTAGGATTTAGGGTTCCTTTGGCTTCAGGGCTTAGGGGTTAGACACTTCCTTTGCGGGTTATATTCTCATACAAAGTTGCAAAGGGTTTTATATCATTCTGTAGAGGTTTACCGGGTTCACAAAGAACGGGTTTCTTGCCGTGCAGAGCCAAAAAGAAACAGCCCGCTGAACTGAAAAATCATCAAAACCCGAATCAATAAAGCAGATGACTGAACCCAGACAGCGACAAAAATGATTCCCTGAACCCTAAACCCCAAACTGCCCAAAACCCTAACCGTGCACCTCAAGCCCTGAATCCAAAACCCCCCACACCTGAACAACCCAAAGCTCGCAACCGCAAGCCCTGAACTCAAAACCCCCAACCCCCTAAGCAATTAAACCCTAAACCCCAAGCCCCGAACTCAAAACGCCAAACAACTAAGCCACTAAACAACCCGAAGCAAAATGCAGTGATCTCCTCGATGCCGCCGACGCCGCAGCCAAGCACGCCGACCTACGCAGTTTTTAGCTGCACTGTGGAGTTTCAGGTTTAGGGTTTAAGGTATAAGGTTTAGGGGAATGAACTGATCGCAAGATCCTAGGATGAGGCTTTTCGTTGCATGTAGCATTCATGTCACGGACCTTCCGGCAAAGATTATCGATTCGCAGCTGCTGCATAACATGACCAAGCATATATAAAGAGAGGCGTGTTCGCCATCTCCATGGGGAAGCCATGTTCGCTACTTCCAGAGGAAGGCGTTCTTCAAAGGAAGGCGTGTTCGCCATTTCCCAATCCGGCAAGACCTCACCCTTCCCATGTCGCTCACTGTAGTCGCCGATATCGTTGGAGAACCTGCCACGTTGGTAAGCTAAGATCTTTCAGAGCGATTTAGAAGCTGCTGGCGATTGCTACACCCCTAACCCAAACATGAGGCCAGGTTTAGTTTCGGAGCTAAGGATGCTACCTGTAGGTTTAGGAAGCCTTGCACTGCTGGGATTGTCGCAACTGCACTTAAGTCTGTTGTGATGAGTTGTCTTTGCAAAGTTGTGCTCTTAATGCTCTACGAGGCCCTCTGCCATACCTATGCACATGTAAGCCTTATAATCAAGACCCGAGCACAAGCGACTTAAGGATTACGAGGTGGCACAACCCTTGGACAGAAACGTCACAAATGTCGCTCGTTTCTTCCAGCACCTAGCTCCAAAGCCAGTGGGAAGCGAAGGCATTACACGTTGCTGCCGCTAGTGCCGAACTATGTTGCAGCGATTCCTTTGGAACCGGCGGGAAACTGAATTGGGAATGGCACAGCGAGCTGCACAAAGAATCTGGCTGCCACGTGTGTAGCTCGCGAAACAGATGGGGTCTTCCTACGGAGAGTGGCACATATCTGTTGAACTCTCGCAGTAAGGGGTCGGCTCCTCATAACATGTCCAGAAAGCACTGAAATCGCACGTGCCGTCGCGGTGCAGGGTGCTGCTGACCCAATCCGAGACTTTCATAGCCCAGTTTCCCCCTTTGTTGGGCAGGTTCTCGTAACAGCACTTGTTGTTCACGACGCAGTCCCTCTTTCGAAGCGGTAGCTCGCATACGCCTCAGTAGGCACGCTGCAGATTGAGATGTCGGGACAAGACCTCTGGGAATGTACAAGGGGCCTCAAAAATTGGAAGAGGGTTTGGGGGATATATCTCATACTTTAGTGTAAGTGTGTTGGGACCAAAGGGGATACTCTTACTAAATATGCCGGCCCCGGTATTACTTTGAAGCCTGCTTGTGCTCAGAACACCGATCCTGGTCGGCTTAAGAGTGATGAGCTTCCGGCCATGATAAGAATAGTGTTCTTTAGGGTTCCTGGGTATAACTAGAGTATAATACAGCCCATTTCTGTTGATTCCGGCCCCTATATTCGAAAAAAACAGGGAACCAAAGCCCTGGACTCAATGCTCTCCAAATTCAACAGTCTGTTGCTAACCCCCCACACTTTACCTCGAGTGTTGTTCATGTTTACCCTGCCCCCGATCCCGTTATCCCCACACCCGAAACACCCTAAGCCCTTAAACCCGAAACTCCAAATCCAAAACTCTACACCTGCCTTAAACCCCAAGCCTAAATCCTAAACCCGTAAACCCTAAAACCATAAACTGGCTTCTTTTCTGGGGCAGCTGTTCCGCCAAGACCACCCCCCGTTTCGGGTGTCTACTCCTGGGTTCATTTCCTGGCTTGAGAGATGGATTCTACGTTTAGAGTTCAGGATTTCGTTGAAGGCTTTAGAGTATGCTTTTTCTACGCGTGATGAAGTCGTACTATGTAATGCAGGGGCCTTAACAATTCCAATAGGGGTTTGATGACCCTTCTACTATAACTATAGTAAGGAACCCCCCCAAAATAGTATTTGTCATTATTTCGGCCCCTATACTACACCTCCATAAGACCCCTTACAGTAACCCTAGTAGGACCCGTTTTAAGAACCCTTTAAAGGGACCCTGGTCCGTCGACACCGGCCGAGACCGGGTGAAACAATGATTTATGTACTCCTAGACGTACCGGGCAATCGTCACCACGTCACAGTCAAACAAGGATCTAGCGACGGCTGTTCGGGGTTTAGAGTTCAGGGGTTCAGAGTTGTGGGTTTAAGGTACGGTGTTTAGCGCCGTAGGACTTTGAGGCTTTCGGGTGTAGGGTTTCGAGGCTTACGGCTTTTGAGTTGCTCAGGCCGGGACCCAGGTTGGCCGCCGTCGCATTGTCCAAACATTCGTTCATGGTATCCAGATCACCTGTGGCTGTTGTACTTGGAGGATCATGGGACTTAGTAAGTAAGGCTATAGGTACCTTAATTGGGGTTAAAAGTAGTTATGAGTATAGTTACCTTATAAGTCCCATGATCCTTCAAGTAGCGCAAGAACTGCTCGGCAGGGTTCAAGGGGTTCCTTGGGGCTGGGAGCTTGGCGCATGTTATGCTGGACAGCCTGAATTCCTGCTGGGATTGTCTGCTCTGAAACATGCTTCTGCTCCGGTCAGGAATGTGGTATGGGGCTCTTTTCATCCCAGCCACACGCTCCGCCCACCAGCATACATCCTTGAAGAACTGCACCGATCACCCCAAGCAGCGCGAGCAAAGCGTGCTTGAACATGCGGCAAGGGCCAGCACAGGGTTCACAACTTGAACACTGCCAAGATTTGCTGCGGGCACGAACAGTCAGGCAAGAACTAGCGTCAAAACAATTGCGTGGTTTGTTGCTTTTCGGGACGGCTTTGCGCATAACACTGCTCCCATGTTCCAACATTGGATTTAGGATTTTAGGGTTTTCGGATTTTGCGGCTTTTAAGGTTTGGCGTTAAGGGCTTTAGCCTTTCGGTTTTTTTGGATTTAGGCGCTAAGAGTTTTAGCATGTGCGGCTTAGGCTTTCGGGTTTGGGGGCCCCGTGGTCAAGATTTTAGGGTATTGGGTTTTCAAAGTAAGGTTTTTTTGGTTTGTTTTGGGGATTTAGGGGAAGGGGTTTGTGGAAGCAGAGACGCGCTTAACCAAAACTACTGTTGATGATATAAACCCTGCATTACCCATAATAAGGAATATACCGTAATTCCCATAGTTTAGGTTCCTCAAGGTAATGCGGGATTTATATCATCAACCGTACGAAACCCATGCCCTGTACTGCACAGAAGCAAAACTTAACCACGCCAGGCGCACGGAGGGGCCGATCTTGAGGTCGAGGTCGTTCAAAGCGCTCCATTCCCAGAAGTGGCTTAGGGTTCGGGGTTCAGGGTTTAGGGTTTTAGGCTTTTAGGGTTTTAGGGTTTTAGGGTTTCACTACTGCCATCAAAAATGCTTATGGCTGTTATTCATCATCACAGTTTAAACAAGGATGTTGAGAAGCTTCATCCCGAAACAGTGCGGAGCCATGTGATTGCCAGAGAGTCTTGCCCCCGATACCCATTTACACACAGCAACTACGCCCCAAGTGCCTACCGATAATAACCAAAATGATATTGCTGAAAACGATAAGAAGAACAGTGATCATCCTATTCAAAAGCATGGAAACCCATGACTGACTTTCGGTGCCCTAAACGCTAAAGCTTCTCAACCCAAAACTTTAAGCCCGTAACACCAAAGCCCCAGACACTACCGGCCCTAACCCCGCCGGCATCATGCAGGAACCTGATTAAGAAACCTTGGATGTATGAATCCTACTATTTTGGGGTTACAGGCCCAGGGATTTTAGATCAGGTTCCTACAGTAGTACTTAGACCGGAACAACACCATGGGCTCAGAACTGTCGGAACGGCCTGCATTGGCGACACGGAGCTCCTCTTTTGAGGTACATGCGTGGCACGGCAGCGGGGCCTGCAAACGTTCCTTCTCTTCCCGATCTTTGTTTGCAGCCTTCCCTTATCTACACCAGGATGCCTTTCCATTTGCCAGTGATCTGCTCCCCCTTTCGCATGGGACGGTTCATAGTACACCCTACCCTACCAAACGGAACCCAAAAATGTGAACTCCCACGCCATCTGCAAGAGCCCACATTTGCACCTCACCATGGGTGCCGTGGGTGGGGTCAGCGGCGCAACGGGGGCTGAAGCCTTGAGCATCTCAGCTGCTTGGCGTGTTTCGGAGTTTAGGGTTTCTCTAACTGCAAGGCATAAGGTGCAGTTTAAGGCTTCGGGTTGAGGGTTTAGGGCTTTAGGGCTTTTACGGTTTGGGGTTCAGTTTCTTCTGTTTCCAAACCTAGGTCTACTTCGAGAAACCTGTATTTCTTGCGTCGCCATATGTGCAACTTCAACCCCAAACCAGTGCAGAAGGCTCAGAATTACCCCTAACCTCCTAAACCCTACAACCCCCGACTCCCTGAACCCTAAGGCCCTATAGTGAATCCCAGAAAGTTGGAACACGGGTTTGGGAGGATTAGTGCTAGGATCCCTTATACTTTACCTTAATTAAGGGCATGAAGATACTAATGTTCCAACTTTCTGGCTTCTACTATAAACCGCCTTGATAATCAGAATGAGGCTCCCTTTAAAGGGATCCTTACAAGGGCCTATAAGGACCCTAAACTTACTCACAACCCAACACGAGCCCCCGACACGAGCACGCCGTGGCGGTCGGTCGCCAGAAACAGGTACCAGCCGGGCCTCCCCGCTCTTCGCGGCTCGGGGCTTTGGGGATTTAGTGATTTTTTTGTGGTGGGGTGGGTGGGTTTAGGGTTAAGGGTTTTTTGGTTTTATGGTTTAGGTTTTTGGGGTTTTGGGGTTTTAGGATTTAAGGTTTAGGGTTTAGGGCTAGGGTTAAGGGATGTACCTGAACCCTGACTCACTTAGCTTCTGAGGGCTCCTTACTAGGATCTCCTTCTACAAGTCCTTACAAATTAGGATTTTCTAGGGTCCAGGTCAAATTTAAGGAATGGCTTCTGGAAAATGGCTTGGGCTTCAGGGCTTGGAGGCTTGAAGGTTTAGAGTTTCGGGTACGAGCATTTAGGGTTAGGGTTTCTGGCTGAAGCTTTTGGAGTTTTTGTGTCAGTGAAGAATCCGTGAGTTCCGCGTTCGCGTTCTACCTTTTAAGGCTAGTGATGAAGGGCAGTGGGGGAACCACAACCCCAAAGCCTTAAACCGTAAACCGTGCAACCCTCAACCCTGAAAGATGTTGGCTTTGGCTCTTGCAGCTTCGGGTCTTGAGCATGGAGATCCACCGTCCCATCCCGAAGCCATAAACCTTATAACCCTAAATCCCTATATCCCTAAACCCTACATCCCTTAGCCCTAAACCCTAAACCCTTACATCCCTAAATTCCTAAACCCTAAATCCGTAAATTCCTAAATCCCTAAACCCTGGACCCTCAAACTACCAGACATAGTCTGACAAGAGCGACGCTAACAAGAAGGGCAGCAGAAACGATGAAGAAGACTCGAGAAAGAAATTTTAGGATTTAGGGGTTTAGGGTTTAGGGGTTTAGGGTTTAGGGTTTTGGGTTTAGGGTTTAGGGAATAATGACGATCCCAACGACGGTAATAGGAGTATATGACAGTCGGACCCAAATAACAGCAATTCCTGGTATTGCTTATGACCTTCTCATCAACATCGTCATCATCATCATCACAACAAGAGTCATCAACAACAACATCACCATACTGCCACTATCGCCATGATCACGGGCAAGATCAGCATGGCAGCAGCACAAGTCAATCCGGGCTGCGTGGCAATACCTGTAGGGATTCTGACATTAGCCGTAAACAGGAATGAGCCTGCACTAATGCGACGAGTAAGAGCAGTGGCGACAAGAAGGATGAAGCAAAAGCATGAGGTCGCCGTTTTCAACAGGATCCTGGCGATGGGGGCGGGGTGGTGTGATGCCAGAAGTGCTTCTTACAACTCGTGCGAGCAGACTAAATGTTAAGCCCAGCAAGAACGGCCTGAAGGGTGTGGGTCTCCTACGTTTGCAACCTGCATCCGTAGTCGGCATGCTTAACAGGCAACCAAAAAGCTCCCGAACCCATAGGTTTCGGCCTGTGCTGCTGCCAACCAGTCACAGTGCTGGTTGGGGCGCCATTGCGATGTGACCTGTGATGGATGTCCGGAAGACATAGCCATGCTAGCTTTAGCGAGAACCACGATGAACAGTTGTCTGCTTCAGGAGTAAAACGGGACATCAACCAGAAATGAGCATGCACCACCCTCAACCAAAAGAAGTCATACCAGCCAGTGCAGCGATCACTTCTGGCAAGAACCACTCCCTGCTGTCTCTGGCTAAGGTCAATATTACGCTTGATGATATAAGTCCTGCATGAACGAAATGACCTAGACCATGGGAATTATGGTGTGTATATAAATATAAATATAAATAAATATATATATATATATATATATATATACATACATTATATGGGTCATGCAAGATTCATATCATCAACCGTACCACCTTGAATTCTTCGAGGCGGGCCCAGGCCCCTCAACCCTGCAGCTCCAGGCACGTGGAAGGAAATGACACATCTGTTCATCTATATGATGTGTGAGCGCGCATATGTATGAGCATATGCATGTATGTCTGTGCATATACATATATATATATATATGTGTGTGTGTGTACACACAGTATATGGAGGCCGAAGCAAACAGAACAGGGTTTCAAGGGGCAGATAGCATACTGAAAATGGAGGGAGCAATGGAATGAGATTGCCAACTGTCGAGGCTCGCCTGCTCCAGTCGCGGCATGTCCGTACCGAAACGGTTCAGGTTTAGGGTTTAGGGATTTAGGGGAAGCCCTGGAAGAAACATTGGCCCTGAGCCTACCCATATATACTGCCCTTCTCGCGCACGGCCTTCGGCTGACTTCTGCGACTGACAAGATACGGTTTTAGGTTTAGAATATTTAGGATGTGGATCCCTTGAACTACCCAACGCACCCTTTAGGTCTTCACCCCGAAGTCCCAAAGGAGTAGCGGCCTGAGAAGCAGCCATCTCGCCTTCCCTTCCTGATAGCTAAACGCTCGCGAGCCAGATCGGCAGATCAGAAGCACTACCGCCATCCCCCAGCCGAATGCAACAAACCACCTAACGCGGCTCGCTCTTCTCTTGCATGCTGTAAAGAAGCTTGCAGAATGGATCTGCTCCAGCTTGCCAGACATCGGCAGGATGGAATCAGATCGGGCTCGCGTCTGCATGCCCGTGTAACTGACATCCGTGAAACACTTTACTCCAAATAAACTCTAAACCTCAGCCCAAACCCCTAAACCCCAAATCTCAAACCCTAAATCCAGCAAAATCTGCATCCCACTGTAAGCCTGCGGACAAGTCGTTTTCAGAATTTCGCCTCGCAGGGTGGCAGCACGCCTCCGCTCCTGCTTCCAGCATATCTCCGAAAAGCTGGACACCAGGGCCCCCAGGAGCTTTGTTTTTGTTCGTATAGTAAGACTTACTACAAGCATTCTTCGGTTTTGTGAATAGGTTTTCTGGGTTTGACTATTTACTGCTATGACATGTCTTGTTATTGCCATGAATACTGCTACTGCTGCTACTGCTACTGCTACTGCTACTGCTACTGCTACTGCTACTGCTACTAGTACTAGTACTAGTACTAGTACCAGTACCAGTACTAGTACTAGTACGAGTACGAGTACGAGTACGATTAAGAGTAAGAGTACGAGTACGAGTACGAGTACGACTACTACTACTCCTACTACTCCTACTACTCCTACTCCTACTACTACTACTACTACTACCACCACTACTACTACTGCTACTACTACTACTACTCCTGCTACTACTACTCCTACTACTACTATACTACTACTACTACTACTACTACTACTACTACTACTACTACTACCACTGTTTACTCAGTGTTGCTATCAATACAAAACCGCAATGCGGCATCTCCGCAAGGATCCGATCATGGGTTTACGGCTCGAGCTTAAGTCTTCGGGGTTCAGAGTTTAGGGTTCAAGGTTTCGGGCTTACGGTCTTAGTGTTTAGGGTTTACGCTTTTGCGGAGTTTAACTTCTTCAAAAGCCCAGCTGGGAGCACTGGCGCTCTGTCGGCAAGGACTGCCACAACATTCATAGTACCTTCAGGCAACTTTGGCACGCGATTCTCCCTAAACCCAAAACCCTTAACCCTACACCCAAAATCCTAGAACCCTAAGCTCTAAACCCTCATCCCTAAAAAATCCTAAACCATAAACCCAGGCCTTAGGCCAAATCAAGGGCTTTCGCACCCCAAGACGAGCAGCAGATGGGTCGCACCCGGAGAGTCCCCCAGCGAAGGGAACGAAGGGCTACCACAAAACACACTTCGTCCACCTAAACCCTCAAGGTAAAAGCCAGAAAGTTGGAATATGATTATCCTAACCCTTCTATGGTAAATTATAGGGTATCCTACTTTGACACCATATTCCAACTTTCTGGAGTTCCCTGTAAGCCCTAAACGAACCACAAACCCTGAAGCTTAAACCCTTCGGATGCGTCAGGACAAAGGCAAATTAGGGGAAGACAGATGGGATCCATAGATCGACAGATAGTCGGATAAGACAGATAGACAGATGTATATGTATATATATATATATACAGATAGACAGATTGGTTGATTGATTTATTAATTGATAGGTTGATTGAATAATGGGTTGACTCGTTGATTGTTTGATTGACTGATTCATTGATTGATGGACAGATTTAGATAGACAGATAGGCCGGTACATCGAGAGATCGATGGACCGATTGATAGACCGATAGACAGAGAGACAGGCGCACACACACACACACACACACACACACACACACACACACACACGTACGTGCGTTTGCTGATATTGTACTGGATGCTTTCAGCATTCTCCTGCTACCTCGTCATACAGAGTGCTTCTCAGAGTGCTTCTCCATTGCTCGATATTCGGTAGCATCTAACAGGAACTCAGTACAGCATGCTTCTTGAAATCCATGTTCTCCTGCCTCCGGTGGGCGGCTGCTTCTCACAACTGTTCCATGATCTTTGGCTGTAGCCTCCGAGTGCCCTTCACTGGGGGTCTCCCAGGGGTCTGCAAGAAGTCAGAGCCCAATAGGCTTAAGCAGCGCGGGTTGCAAAGTCTGTTAAGTTTCGCGTTTCGGGCTTAGTATTGAAAATATCTCTGCTGATTGTGGGTTTAGGGTTTGCGGTTCAGACCTTCGTGCTTCGTGGCTTCGTGCTTACTATCTCCGCACATGGGCTTTAAGACTTGGGCTTAGAATCCCGATTCGCGGCGATTAACGCCTAGTACCTTTCTTCCTTGGGCTTAGGTCTGGGAAGCGCTTACGCCGTTATCGGTTCGACTCCAGGAACTCAACCCAGAAGATCGGCAGCACCATCTGGCGCCAACTGCCGACACCCGTCTCCCGAACCGTCGCGTGAGATTTCACAACAGGCAGAAGGCTGCAAATTGCTGTCTGCAACCTCGTTATCATCCTCGGCTTCTTGGGTTTGGAACTAAAAATCTTCAGTGCTCACTTAAGGAGGGCCCGAGATGCTGTGTAGGCGAGGCGTTCGGGACTCGGACACGGCTGAAGGGGCGGTGAGCAGACCTTTTGCCCATCTCAGAATGCCTCGCACGTGGCTTCCGCGACCCTAGGTTAACAGCATTGAAAACACAAGTCGAATACCGAAAAGTCGAGCCCCATGGCCTGCGGGACATTTCCCGGAAAGCAGATTACGATGGCCCCTGTGGTAAGGAGGGTTGTAGAAGGCCGCTTCGGTGGGGAGCACGCCATCGCAAGTAACTTTAGCTGTCACAGTAGGGGCAACAACAGAAAGAGGAGCCGCAAGAGTAGAGGGTGACTCTACTCTTATCACTCACACCAGTTCGTCCTTCATTCCATGGCCGAAAGCAATGCTATTAGTGCGAAGCCACGGCGATCACCCCACCGTCGTCTCGCTGCTGTGGCTCGTCGGGGCACAGCAGCTCAGAGATCTCGCAGATCATGAAGTCGATTTCTGACAGACAACATAAGGTTTAGGGTCTAGGGTTTAGGGAACAGACAAGGCTCTGCCGGGCTCTGTGTGGTGCGGTCGGGCTTTAGGGGGGGTCGGTCTTCGAAAGGTGCTCTCTGCGTCTGAAGTTCTGGGACAGCTGAGGTTAAATGAGGCCCCACGGCTCATCCAAATGAACGCTTCGGGCCATCTGCTGTGTCGGTTTAGGGTTTTAGAGTTTAGACCTCAAAACTTAAGGTTCGGGAGGCACAATTGCAACGTCGCAGCCTTCGTCTAGAACCTGGAGACCAATTTTCAGCATAACGATACCCAGGTTGATGCTATTCTGCTAGGTTATGTGAGAACACATGCTAAGTTACTCCACAGTCTGTTCAGCCTAATGCCAACAGCTTATGCAACTGCGCTGATCCCGAGGCTTCGGAAGAAAAGCTTAATGTTCATGCCAGTATTCATGGACCTGCTATATCTGCTATTAAGACTTATGTGCAGATCAGAACGTAGCTTTATAGCCATGACCATATCACACCGACAGTCATGCCGGCGGCCGCACGAAGATTCATACTCACAGGTCTTGCACATCGATGTGAACGAAGACTCACATGCACAAGTATGCTGCACATTCTTGTTATCTGGTGACCACATAAGGTTCAGCTGCTCTTTGCTTTCACTTGTCACGATCCTGCAAGACACATACAGTCTTCTCTGCTCTGCAGACAACTGCTGACACGAGCTCATATTTGTCCATGTGCACATTTTGAGTATCAATCTGTCCTGTTGCATTCACAGCCAATGTCACCGTCATGTCAACGCTCAGCAGTTTGAGTCGCATGGTTCCAGTGGCCCGTGATGACATTCGACATGATCATCACGCGCAAAGCACGACCCCCAAAGCCCAAGCACAAAGCAACTTCGAGCCTAAACCCTGAACCCTGTAATAAGGCCATACAAACCCTAAACCCCAAACCCCCCCTCATACTCTGAGCCTAAACCCTAAATCCTACAAACCCCCTAAACCCTATATACCCTTTATGTCCCACCCCTAAACCCTATTTCTCCCTAAACCCCTACACCTCTAAAGCCTCAGATCGCCGAGTTTCGGGCTGCCGAGACCTTCTTGTTACCGAGCAGCATTCAACTCGTACCTCGAAACCCGCGGGTTTAGGGGGGGTTGAGGGTTTACAGTTTAGGGTTTAGGGCTTAGGGTTTAGGGTTTACAGTTTAGGGTTTAGGGTTGGGGGTTTAGGGTTTACAGTTTAGGGTTTAGTATTTTGGGTTTAGCTGAAACCATGGAAATAGTGGCCTTAAAAGTTGAGGGTGCCTCCAGAACGCGTCAAAATACGGGCCTGCGTTTTTGGATACGGCATACTTCTGCTTCGCGCCACCTGTAGATGTATATATATATATATATATATATATGTGTGTGTGTGTGTGTGTGCGTGTGTGTGTGTATGTGTGTGTTTGTGTGTATATATATATATATATATGCATATACATATGGGTGTGCGTGTGTCACGTTCTGTAAGAATTAGACTAGGGTTCCCTTGCATGGTTCCTCTTTGCGGGCTATATACAAACAGCTAGCAAGGTTCAAGGAAAACTGCGAGCAAGGCAAGCCCTGAGCAAAGAAAACATAGCTTGATGCTTAATACCTGCCGGCCAGCTCTCACTTCGTTCGTCCACGGGGTTTGCAGAATCCCGAACTTCGGCGAAAGCTTCAAGGGTTTATGGATTGAGGGCCGCCGACAGCTTAATCAAGCGTCTCGAATCTGTTGCAAGTATGCCGAGGATTGGAAGATGTGCTGCCTTCTGGATGGGGATCCTTGCAACCAAGAAGCTGGCAACCTGTTCGGGGATTTCAGGTATCTCAGAGATGAGGGGTACTTGAGGGGAGAATGCTCCGAACCCTCTACTGCAGGCGTAAATAAAGCCCCCAAGGCCCAAAAACGCCCTCCTTGTTGTCCAGCCGAAAGTAGTCCCTCAGCCCCTGTATCCTAAAATCTAACCCCCACCATAAGCCCCCAAACCCTAAATGAACCCTATGGGCCCACTCCTGCAAACCTAAACCCCCAAAAAATCCCGGAGCCCCTTCGAACCCTAAAACCCTAAACTCCTGAACCCTAATGTCCTCAAGCCCGTACAGCCCTAAAAGCCCTAAAGCCCTGAAAGCCCTACATGCCCCAAAAACCCCTAAAACCCTAAAGCCCTTAACAGCCCTTAAAGCCCCATCCCCTAAACCTCGAGAGCCCCTGAGCTTCGGGCTTTGTGGCTGTCGCCGCAGCCAACAGGGGCGGCCTCTGGAGCTCCACCGGGGGCTTCTGGCTTCTTTGGGATTTAGGGCTTCAGGGCTTTGGCCTAGGGCTTAGGGTTATAGGGTCTAGGGCTTTAGGCTTTAGGGCTTTAGGCTTTAGGGTTTTAGGATTTAGAGTTTTAGGGTTTAGGGCGAGAGGGTTATAGGGCTTGGGGCTTCGGATGTAGGGCTTGGGTTGCCAACTGAGCTCTACGACCCAGCGGGTCTCCCCCAACCAACAGCATTGCCTGCTCCTTCCGGGAAGAAATGACAGAGAGACTGTCTGGTTCTTAATAGGGGAAGGGGGAATGGATTGTGGACACTGTTATTGGGGACTACTATAGGGATCCATTCCCCCATTCCCTGCAAAGAACTAGAAAAAAAGAAGGTCCCGCAGGGGCACCGGCCTGACTCCCTGGTGACGCCAGATCTTTCACCCTCAAACCTTGACCCGCCTCCTTGAACCAACCCTAAACCCAAAACCCTGAACCCTAAACTCAAAACAACCCTGAAACCCCTAAAACCCTAAAGCCCTAAACTTAAAAACCTCTAAAACCCCTAATTAAACCCAAAACCCCCCTAAACCCCCGAATCCCTAAACCACCAAACCCCCTGAACCCCCAAAACCCAAAAGCCCCCTCCAAAACCCCTAAACCCCCAAACCTCCAAACCCAACAAGGAAGCCCGAGCTCCGCGCCATCTCCGGTCGGTTCTTAGCCTCTTTGGTGCATGGGCGAAGGGTTTGAAGATTTTTGTTGAGCGCCTTTTCCGCCTATCCCTGCAGTCCGAGATCCGCGAAAAGCCATTTTGGCTCCGGTTTGAAGTTAAGGGTTTAGGGTTTTGGGTTTTTTTTGTTTTGAAGGATTTTGGGGGTTTAGGGCCCAGGGTCAGCTTCAAGTTCGGAAAGTCGGGTTTGGGTGACTGGCTTTGCGTTTGAGCTTCTGATATGGGTGGTTGTCAAACTTATGGTCCCTTTGTGGGTCCCTAATACAGTATGGCACCTCATATTTAGATTTAGATTATATGTGCATACAAGGGTACCCAAAAAGGGACCCTAATTTTGACAACCACCCAGAAGGATTCTAGAGCCGAGGATTGGTGGGGTGCGGGGATGCGCCGGAGGCTCTGCTTAGGGCTTGGGTGTCCAGGTTTTGCAGCATAGCTTGCTTGGGCTCGATCCTAAACCCGACACCCTCAAACCCTAAACCCTAAACCCTTTAACCCTAAACCCTCAAACCCTAAACCCTAAACCCTAAACCCTTAAACCCTAAACCCTAAACCCCTAAACCCTAAACCCTTAAACCCTAAACCCGGGGGGCCCCGCTCCACTGAGACTCGATGGCAGCTCAAGTCGCTTCAAGGGCAAAGGCCTTTGATCGCTGAAACCCTGCCCCGGCTTGGAGTTTAAAGTTTACGATTTAGGGCTTGGGGTAACCCTATAAAGGGCACTGATGGGACCTTCAAGGAATCCTTAAGGAACCTGAAGGAACCCGTACCTCTCAAAGCACGAAGCTCCGGCCGCTGCTGGGTAAGGCTTGGATGTTCGGTGGGTCGCGGGCTGCTGGAATCCCGAGGCTACAAAGCTTGAACACCTCGATGACACCTTTCGCGAAGACGGCAAAAGCTCAAACTCGAAAACTCAAAACCCCAAATCTTGAACTTCAGACATCGGCAATAAACAGAGATTAAGACAAAATCAAACAAACTTAACACCACTGACTCCCTCAACCCAACACCCAAGGCCGCCTATATCAAAAGACTGTCAAGTTAAACACTACTAAATTCTTATTCTAGCACCACAATAAAATGCTATTCTAACAGCACCAGTGAAATACAGTTATAACACCACCACTCAAACTCGAGTATTTTGAATAAGCCCTAGAAATCCCATCATGAAATCCTGAATCTCCGGTTCTGCCTCGCGGCCGTTGTTGCCGCACCGGGCAGTCGAGGTGCTGCGGATACCCATCTGAACCTACCGAAGCTCTGGAGGGGCAAACTTTACGGCTTAGGGCCTTAGGGCTTTGGGTTTAGGGCTTGGCGTTTAGGTCCCATCCGAACCTTCAGAAGCCCTGGTGGGCTTTGTTTAGGGGTTTGAGGTTTAGGACTTGGTTTCTGGAAAGCCCACCGAAGCTTGGAGCTTTCGTATGATGTCGCCTCCAGGGGAGCTTGGATAATGTAGGGGCCTGAATAATTAGAATAGGGTTTTCGGGCCCATTATACCATAATTGTACTAAGTAACCCTCAAAACAGCAGTATAGGTCCAGGCAATTATTCAGGCCCCTACATTGCGTGCAACCAAGAAAAATGACTCGGGTGGTTTCGGGATTGGACTCCTGTTCAGTTCCCGGAATACACCAAAGCTAAATCGGAAGTCAAGAGAGACATGATGCTGCATCTGCATCTTTCACACATGTGGGAATCCTCGCGTGTAGGTCGCAGAGGACTGCCAGCAGTGCAGCTCGTGATGTACCACTCGGCGCCACCACAAGAAGTGCTATGGTCAGCAACTTCGACAGCTGTGCGGCTGCCATGAGAAACCTTCCATGGCACGTCGTCGCCAATCCCTTGCAAGCAGTTTTCGGGCCAGGAGTGCGGTCTGTTCGTTGCTCCGGCTGCCAGGAAGTCGTCCACAACTTCGTCAGCAGTGGAGGCTGCAGGCTGGGCGTCATCTTGTGCCAGAGTTGCCCCTTCGGAGCTGAGCAAATCGCCCTTCACGCTCTGCAGGGATGACCGAGGCTTTACTGTGCTCATACCCGAAGCTCGGTCAGTAGTTCCCGCTTGGTCTAGGGCACCTTCCCCGATCTCCATTGTGCGTCTCCAAGCAATGCTCCAGAATCAAGTTTCGGATGGGACAGCTATTGATGCCCTGGGTCCCTTGCGGTCCCTTTACATCATCCTCCAGCATCGCCTTCCAACTTCGCTCCATGTAGTGGTCCGCCACGGAGCGCAGGTCACCGCAACGGCTCATCTCGGCGAGCAGGCTCTCGTACTTCGATCGTGGCCATCGGCGCAGGCGCTCTGCACGGACCGCAAAAATGCCGTTGAAGAGGACCCCGGCACAGGTTGGCCGCGTCAGATCCTGCTCAACGAAGTTCTGGTACCACGCACCGAGAGGGCGCATGGAAGCATTGCAAAGCCGGATCATGCCCCATTTCTGCGAAGCATACGTCACAATGTCAAAGGCGGGGTTGAAAGGATTGAACTCTCCCGCAAACGTGTGGGCCATAGTAGAAAAATTGCCGAATAATCCGCGAGTGGCTGGTCGAAGCTGTGTCATTAGATAGTTGAGCTTCCTGCAAAGAAGCTGATTGTTCTCATTCCGCATGATGCTGCCGACGCTGAAGACAGTGATATCCGCTAAGGAATGGTAGTTCTGGACTATGTGATGCAGATACACCGCATTCTCGCCTCCTAGGTTGGGCAGTGGGATGCATCGAGGATCCAGGCTTTCGCTGCCAGAGCAGTAGAGCTTCAGCCTCGTGTCAGGAGCGATCGACATCATCGGCTCCAAATAGCTCAGATTCTCATTGAAGGCCGCGACCACTAGGTCGATGCTGTTTGAGGGTGGCGAAGCATCGGAAGCCGTTCGCGCGACAGTTTGCACCGTGGCACAGAAGCCTGGGATGGAGGTTTTGCTCAGTGGCCTTTGGTGCGCCGGTGAGATGCAGCTCGCGGGCTTCACCAGCGTGTACCAAGGGCCCATGAAGTACTTAGGGCCAGTACCTGTGCAAGCCTGAAACCAGCCCTTGGAGACGTTCTGGATCTGGTCTGTAGCCCTGTCGGGGAGCCAGTGGAGTCCCATGCACAAGGATGTAGAGCTGCAGAAGCTAAGCATGGCGGCTTTCGAGCCACCCTTCCAATTCTCGAAGTTTTCCGTGCAGCGGAAACCTTTCAGCAGCTCCGCATGGGACCAGTCACATTCCACGACTTTCTGGTAGGTCGAGTAGCCTTCCTTGTGATTCTGCAACTGACGGCAAGTGCCCGCAGTCGCATCAAACCGAGAGCAGGTGACGCCTTCCTTGAAAGAGATGAACGTGCAAGAGGGGTCCTTAGAACAGGCCATCTTACAGCTCTCCAAGCTCTGAGACTCGGCCGCCTCGCCCCAACCCGCATAGTAGCCCGAATCGCAACATCCATCGCCCTGGAAGGTGAAGTTGGCCATCGAGATCGAGGTCGCTATTGGCCTTGCTGCCACTGCCACCGCTCCTGCCGCTGCCGGCGAAACCTGCGCTGGCACTGTCAGAGTCGACCTCCCCAGGTCATCGGAGCCGGGCCTCGGACTCGCCACAGACTCGGATTCTGCGAGCCAGCTCTGCGAGCCGTCCGTTTCGACGTTCGGCGGAGTCCAAGGGAGCCAGCCTGGGGGGGCCGTGATGCGGAGCAGGCAAGCAGCGACGGCCAGGGTCAAACAGACCAGCAGGCGCCGGCCACATAACTCACATGCCATGGCAGGTCAGAGGCGCATGATGTCTCCTGTCTCCACCAGAAGTCGAACTACAATATGACGAACCCCATCCTTGGGCACAAGGGGCCATGTCGCCAAGTCCAGATCGCCAAGCCATACAGCCGTCAAGTAAGCCCGGCTTCCCCAACGGCCTGGCCCCGAAGTTCTCCCTTTGCAGCATCCCAGCCCGCAGAAGTGAACGCTGAAGTGGAAGTGCTGACATTCCCTGCAGTTTCCAAACCATGACAGCATCCACAACCCTAAACCCCAGAACCAAAACGCCACGCCTTGTTCCGGACTTTGCTCATGTCCAACGCCGCCAGCTTCGGATCCGGCTCTGGCCTTCTTGGGACTAATATGGGCGGGTTGCCGAAAATTAGGGGTACCTTACTTTGGGTCCTTATAACAAGGATCCTACTATTTAGGGGTAATATGCTAGGGTTCGGAAATCGATGTAGGGGCATTAGCTAGACATTAGAATGCAGTTCCTTTAAAGGGTTCTTAACGGGTTCTGTAAGGGTTACTATAGGTGTTTTAATATCGTGGCCTTACTAATTTAGCCGAGGGTTCCTTTAAAGGGCTCTATAAGGGTACTGTAAGGGTTTTTAACTTTTTGAAGGGCTCTGCAAAGATTACTCTACGGGTTTTCGTATAGGGACCTTGCTAATTAGAATGGAGTTCCTTTGCCGGCTCCTTTTTTGCAAGGGGCCCAGGGGGATTAGTAGATCAGGGGTTCGTAAAAAGCCTTATCAACCGCTTTAATTCTGGTATGATTACACTGAGGAACCCTGACGACGATACTACGGAAGCTAGCTGTCTGGGGCTGAGGCTGGAGGACAAAGAATTTCGTCGGCTAAAACACGTTAATGAAGTTCATGAAGGCCAAGTTCAACTCATTACACAACCTCGTGGCTGGGCATCCGCGCACGGCGCTCTGCGTCCTGCGCATCAACCGTGCCCCGCAGGATCGTCGCTGCTGCCGCGCACCCTGCTGTCTTTCGCTTCCGGTAGCGGTCTTGAAGGTTTGTGTTTCAGGGTATCGCACAGGGACTCATAAGGACCACACCAACAGGGACGACAAGGCAACGGCGAAGAACAGGGACAACCTGAACTTTGCGATCTGAAAGGCTTGAGAGCTCAAGCTTCTGCTTCTGAACCGATGCACTTTGAGCGATGTCAACACTACATTGGTAAAGTGCAGGCAACGCGTGCAAGTGCTAACAAGTCGATTGTAGTACTTAATCAAGAAGCAAGGTCAGGCGATTTGCCAGGACCGTTTGGATGTTTTGGTCCCAGCTCATAGGAATGTCGTCGGGCCAGGCAACTCTAGAACAGCAAAACGTCAAGGACCTAGCACTGGAACATGGCTGGACGCATGAAGACCTGCCGAGGTCGGCTGAGAGGGCCCACCCCACTCGCTTTCCAAATGAAGCGATTTGTCAACTCAGGGATGATGCGATCAGCACGCAGCATACCACTGTCGGCTCCAAACCCATGATACTTAGAACAGGGTTTCGGGGCATAGTTTGCTACTAAAGATCGCTCAACAGTAGCATGGCTAAATCTCCAGGCCCCGTTTTGAAACCCTAGCCCTAAACCCTAAACCCCAGATACTGTCATTCTTGCATCCCCCGTCTCTGCCTGCTCGGCATGACGTCTCCTCCGCTGTGCGCCCGGCCGCCTTCCGGGCGAAGGTGCTGAAGCCCTGGCGGCTTTCCAGCGGCAGGGTTTGAGGGTTTAGCGTTTTTTGGTTTTTTAAGGTTTAGGGTCCAGGGCTTAGGGAGGTCCCCTTTTCGCTTCCTGTAGGGTTCAGGGTTCCGGGTTTGAGTGAAGGGCGTCGTAGGAGCCTTGCAGCCTCGGGGACACGAGTGGTAGGAGGATTCCAGGGTCTCTGTACCTTCGTGGTCTGCGTCCCAAGTAAGGGGCTCGGCCTTTTGAACAATCTAAGCACCCCGACTTCCCTGCCCTCACCGTAGGGACCCTAAGGCCACCACTCAACGCCCACCCAGAGTTCCCGGATCCGCGAAACGCATTAACCCCAACAGAAAAGAAACCTGTCCCAGAACCTGTAATATCAGGAAAGAGGCTTGTGGGCTTGGGGGTTGCTACGATAAGGCACCTGCGGCCCCAGAGCCTCTAATATCGAAAGTGAAGCTTTTGGGCTTCGGGGTCTTTAGGCTTAAGTTTACTGCCTTCAAACACTTAGGGGTCACTCTTTGGAGCATTAGTCCATTAAGGGCGGCTCGGTGTTTTTCTCCACGGGCTTCCGAAGCCTGCCTCGAACACTCAAACCTATGATCCCAACTTCGAACCCACAGCCGCAGCTGCCCTCAAACCTAGATCTCAATTCCGAGCCCGAAGCCCACAACTCTGCTGCATCTTAGGGTTTTGGGTTTAAGACTGATCGAAAGCATGCCGTGGCAGCGAGTTCAGTGAGCCACGCACATCCCCTGCAGCTTCCACGCTGGGCGCGAGGATGGGGGAAGCCTCACCGGGCAGCTGTGTAGGTTCAGGTTGAGAAATGTGCGCGGGGCCATGATACAGGAACGATATCGGCAGCTGTTCTTGTATGGTATCTCGGTTGACGGTTTTGGAACGTCCCGGATTTAGCTTTGAGAGCTTTCGGTTCTAGGGTTTCCGCTGCTTGGTGCTTGGGCTTCGTTTAGGTCTTCCGGGCTCCGACTTAGGAACCCCAAGCCCTAAACACGCCTAACCCTATCTCACGTCGCTTTGTGCGAGCTGGACCGATCGCGGCAAGGGGTTTGGAGTTCAGGGTTCCCCTAAAGCCTCCACTGCGGGCAGCTCCAGAGTACACAGCAGTTGTGTCAGGTGCATCTTCAAAACAAGGGCCTCCTTTGTGGGTGGTTTTATAGAGCAGGGATCCCGAAACGTGCATTTCACTGACAAGATTCCTACTAGCGCACGAAGAGCATGTTGAAGAATTGTGATACTGTTATCTGTACAGGAGCAAGTACTGGTCCTAGAATGATGGAATGAGCCCTACAGGGCGCCTGAATAAATAGAATAGGGTTTTTCACTATGACGACGGCGGTGACGTCAACGACTGCTGATTTGTCATCGCCACTCTCAGCCACAACCTGGACCGTCTGGGCAGGCGGATGCTCCAGGGAGATCCCAGGCACGGCCTGCGAGACCTTCAGCTGGCGGTCATCGCTTTTGATCGTACTAAATTCTTTAGTAACCATAATGATACCAATGAAAATAGTGGTGATACTAACGATAGTAGTGGTGACAACAATAATACGACCAAGCAGAACGACGATGGGGCAACACAACGCTACCATAAATACTGCTGCCATCCGTTGCACATCCCACTATTCCCCAACAGTGTGACAACACTATGGTGTTGTTACGTTCGGAGTAACGGGAGTAAACCGCTGTCCGCATATGGCAAGCGTGGTAAGCGCAGCCGGCGGCTCTGGCCGTGTCATGCGGACATGTGTTCGAGTAGAGTCGCGGACCGAATTCATATCGATTTCCAATGCTCTGGCTGACGTGTATCTGGTGAAATGTGCAACTTAAACCCTAAACCCTACACCCTAAAACCCTAAAACCCTAAAACCATAAACCCTAAACCTTAAACCCTCCGTAACCCGAAACATTAAACCCCAAAACCCCAAACGGTGCAGTGCCGGCTTCGGCCCTGGAGTCGGGCGCCTCCATGTAGTCTGCAAGGCCTGCCTCACTTGAAAGCTCTTAGATTCCTTGGTCACTTGTGTATATATGTATATGTATATATATATGTATACATACATATACATATATATATATAACGAAAATAGCCTGCATCTATGTAACTGTGTACATATAGTTACTCATGCATATACATAAATATATATATATATATATATATATACACATCTCTCTCTCTCTCTTCGATCCAGACACCCTGTAAAAACTATAAGACGCCGGCCTCACATGATCGAGATGCCACTGTGGCCGCAACGAGGACGCAGCGGGGCTTTGGCGTTGCCCGCGCCCTGGAACCCAGGAATGCTAGATATCTCTGACACTGCTTAGGGTTTGAAGTTAAAACATCCTGCAATTGAGAGTATGGGCTGAAGGTTCAGGATTTAAGAGTTTGTGTTGGGGCGGTTGGGGCTAAGAACTTACGCCATAGGGTTGAGGGACAAGGAACCCTGTTCCTGCACATCTTGACTCATCACGAACTGAACCACAGAACTCTTGGAATCAGGATGCTTTCGGGCTATGGGCGACGACACAGTAACCGAAAACCCTAGGACTATAAGAGTCCTGAACTTTCACCAAAGCTTCTATCCCTTGAACCCTGAAGCCCAAACCCTACTCCTATCCTATCCGACAGCCCGAGCGTGCCTTCAACTAAAGCCTCAAGACGAAACACCTTCTGAGTTGTGTCTGGTAGCCGTGCCTTTGAAAAGCCTCCGTTTTTGGTTCTGGCACTTGGGAATGGATTTTGGCATGTGCACTGCAGACTTAAACGCACATCCTAAGCTCTAAGTCCCCATCCAGAGGTCCGGCTTGGGATGCCGGACACTATGCTTAACTCCTTCGGTCAAAAAGTCTGGAGTCACAGTCCACAGGTTTCCGGACTCAATAAGCTGAGGGCCCAGTGCGACAGTCTTCTCGGAGGCAATGCCCGAATCTGGCAGTGATTTCTGGCAACCGGAAACCCATGGCAAGACCCCACCGCCTGCTGCCAGCTAGACGATTTGCCTCAAGAGATTATGCGCCCAGGGTTTGGCAACAAGCGTGGTGATGTATACAACAGAAGGAACACACCTTGCGACGCTCTAGCTACATATCTGAACAATCACCACTGGTCCACGAAACGCACTGCAAGCTGTGGAATTTGGGAAAATCACGTGTTTAGCCAGGCCGGGAATGCTTCCAGAACCGAAATGGTCTTGAACTGCTTCAGTTGCGCTGCCGTCACCATTTGCGCCCACTTCCAGAAGCTCCGACACAATCAGCTGATGTAGGACCGCAGGACATACCCCAAAAATTCTATCCCTTCTGAAGCTACCGCGTCTACTTCTCTTAGGCGCACGCAAGAGCGGAGCGGGCCACAGTGGCGCAGGCCAGCAATGTGAGCGCCAGCACCGGCGCTTCCTATGTAGGGATTACTTCACTCGACACGAGGCGGAACAGGAACATGATTAATCCTCATCACCACACTCACCATCATCATGATCATCACTATCAAAGATACCGAGGATAGAGTGTGACAACGAGAACCTTCAGAAAGGACAACTGCTCGTCTGTCGTGGATAGACGGGGAACGTGTCGTGCGTGCCTCGGGAGGAGTGTGTGGGCCATCCAGCCATTCGACTATCTCCCAATTCGTTTGACCCCACTTCGTGACAGATGTTGCTTTTCGAGGCACATCTCCCCGATCTTCCCGATCCTACAGAAACTGCTACTGTTTTGCGACTGGTCGAAACGCGGCTGACGAAGTAAGCTTTCAGGCGAGGTCAAATTCAGAGCCCCTGAACACTGTTCGTGCAAGATCCGCTTGAGCCCAACTTAAAAGCTTATCAAACGTCTGTGGCCTGCTTACGGTAGCATCCCCAACAACTACGTCGACTACGTCTCAGTCTGGGCATCCGGCATGCCTGCAGAACCCTCGTCAGTCGAAGATGTGAGCTCAAAATCCTAAGAGACCCCTGCACCCGGGTTCTGGACCATGGAGGTCGTCTGAAGTGGAGACGTCGCCTCCCCGGACTTCGCGGAGTCTAGGTGTCAGGGGCCTTTAGGGATGCCCCTGTTAAGGGTTTAGGGCTTCAGGGCTATAGAGGGTGTCACGGCAGGGTTTGGGGTTTTAGGGTTCCAATCCCCACAGCCTGAACCCTGAACTCCGAACAGGGTCGAGGAGTCTGGGGCTTCGAGTCTTAGGCTTTCGAGCTTGAGGTTTAGGGTTCAGGGTTTCGGGTTTTGGGGATTTAGGGCTTAGGTTTCAGGGCCTTGGGCAAAGCGCTTTCTGGTCTCTGAATTTAGGGCGCCTGAGCTCCATGTTCGTAGCGGTGACTCAGAGTCGAGGACCTGACATCCTGAGCCAAGGATGTAACGTAGGTGTCACTTAGGGTTTGCGAGCTGATGGGCTTGTGGGTTTACGGGTTTAGGATTCAGCAGCATACTTGGGGTCATACTAAGGTCTTTGACCACAAAGCATGAGCAACATACGCCTTCAGAAACACAAAGAAGCACACCAAAAGCCAGAAGGTAAGAGTTATCATGAAACGGCGGCTGATTTATGGCAGCAAATATGGAATGACACTCTCGCTTCAAGTCAAAGGGAACACATGGCAGCATGCGTCCCCAACTGAATGATTTCGGTGTGAAGCCACCTAGGATCAGTACGAAGCAGTCCACCGAAGTTCAACCCTATTACATGGTATAACCGAATAATAAATGTAAAATATTATGGGAATTTTCTTGTACCTCAAAGAAATTGAAAACCAGGCCTGACCACGGCTGAAAGATAGCTTGCCACAACTGGTCACACAGAGTCTGAATGCACTGAGACGGGAACGTGTCCCGTGGATGGGGCCTGCGCATGACACGTGCAAGAAACGAAACCTTCATCGGACTCTGCATCAAGCTAGCCTTCGAAGCAGGAGAGCCGAAGGCTACAAGACGAGCTTAATATAGGGGCCTTAACAATTAGACTAGGGTTTTGGGGCCCAATATACTATACTTGTAATCAGGAACCTCCAAAGTAGCATTGGAAGAATGCGGCTCTCTTCGACAGCGCGGTTCCCATCAGCTCTCCACGCTTCGGGTCTCGATGTCCACTGCTAAGGGTTCAGAGGCCACAGCTTCCCAAAGCTCCCACTATGATTTACTATGAATACTATAAGGTGCGATCAAACACTATAGTATACCATACAAACTATACAAACTATATATACTATATACTATAGACTATAGACTACAGGCTATAGTTTATATACTATATACGATGAAACATATACTAGATACTAAAAACTATATACTAACTGTATACTGTACACTGTATACCGTATACTGCATACTGTACTATACCACAATGGAATATACTACAACATAAGATATTACCGATCATGACATGATGGCATGAAGTCAGCGACTGTTGGGCTTCGGGATGGACATCTCTATACCCCAAACCCCAACCTCTAAACCCTAAAAGCAAACACTAGATAAGACCCTGAACTCCCCAAGAAACATTCTGAACCTAAAACCCTGATACCTAGAACCCATAAACCTGCCTTGTAGGCTGTGATGAACGATGGCTGCCATGCTTGCAGGGCCTGAACACGACCGGAAGCAAGCGGGGCACTAGCCAGAAGCCCAAGAATCAATAGGGTTTCGGCTTTCCGGTTTAGGGCTTAAGGTTAGGCTTGAGGTTTCCGGGTAAAGGTTTGGTGGCTAGGCTCGAGCTTGGGGGTTAAGGCTTAGGAGAGGATCGACAGACTCCAAGCCATCTACTGCTATGCTTATCCAATATACACGTAAAGAAATGAACTTGTAGACAGAGAGACAGACAGTCAGGTACCTGTAGGTAGATAGATAGATCGATGGTAGATGAGGCAAGCAGGGAGCTAGGAAGGTAGGTCGGTAGATACAGGTGTAGACACAGGGGAAAGATAGATTGATAGGCGCACAAGAAAGGCAGAAGGACGAAAGGCACGCATTCAGCCAGGGAGACAGACAGTCAGACAAATAGTCAGACATCGCAGCTGACATTAGGTGGCCACATGGACATGCAGACAATCAGGTAGAGAGGCAAATGCACACGTGCTTAGGTATGTATATACATATACATACATATAAATATAATCATACAGATATATACATATGTGTGCAAATTGGAGGCTGCATATATATATATATATATGTATAATATGCCTGTGTGTGTATGTGCGTATATATGTATGTCGTGTACGTATTTGCACATTGGGGTTTTGCAGGTCCAGCGTGCTGCACGCAAAAACTCTTGGACGGACGAATCTGTGCTCCGAGCCAGACAGCTGAGCAGCACGGCTCCTGCCAGCACCTGAAAGCTTGGGAGGGTTTCGTACTTCGAGTTTAAGGCTTTGGATTGAAAGCCCTAACTGGCCCTAACGAACCTAGCGTCGAGGAGTAAAGATTTCGGATGTGGTCTTCATCCACTGCGCGGACCTAGGGCGCCTACGTAGATCTGTTTCATCAGAATGGCAGGGTTTAGGGATTAGCGCTGAGGGTTTAAAGCTTACTGAGTCAGCACAACGGAAAACGATTCACAAGTTCCAGAGCTTCTCGCATACCCAACTACTCAAACGTAAGGCTTGTGGTCACTGTTCGAAAAACTGATGAGGGCGAAGCCTTTCAAAGCTTCACCAAAAAACACGAACTGAAACCGCAACCACTAAACCCCTAACCCTTTTAAACATCAGCCGAACCCCTTAGATTAGATCCAGACTATCCGAGCTCATCCCGAGGCGCAGCTCTGAAACACGACTTTGGTTGCGGAACTTTTACACTAAAGACGTTTGGGGTTTAGGGCTTTAGGGTTTCGGATTTTAGAGCTCATGGTCTGGAGGCTTGTGGGTATATGCGTCCTTGTGAAGGATAGCCTTTTGGGAATCGCCGTGATTGGACCCTACAGACACTTGACGACGTGACCCATGCATTGAGGCTGCAGCATGTTCTCGGTGCCGTAGTGGGCGTGGCATGCCAGTGGCCTCTGCTAACGAAACGAAATCTCTTAAAACAACTTCTTGCGGCACGAAAGCCCGTCTTGTTCCACAGGGGCTGCTAAGAGTTACTGGTAGCGGCTGTGGCGATGGTGGCGGTGTTGGCGGTGGTGACGTTTGTGGCGGTGGGGGCGGTGGCGGCGTTGGTGGCGGTGGTGGCAGTGGTGGCGGTGGTGTGGTGATAGGGGTGGGTGGCTGGGCCGGTGCTGGTGCGACTGCTTGGGCGACATGCAGTGGTGGCACAGGTTGGTGGTGGTCCTTGCATGGTGATGATTGCGGCAGCGGTGATGTTCCGGATGACGATGATGATCTAGGATACCCAGTAACCTAGGAACAAAAAGGCCCCTCCTTTTGGTATTGGGTAACTTTATAAGGAACCTAGGACTACAAAAAAGGAATAAGGGTACTACTGGGCATCCTAGTGATGCTGATACTCACGACGATGATCATGCTGATCATACTACGCAGTGGCGGTGATTGCGTTGGTCGTAGTAGTGGATGTGGCTATCATACTGACAATATCGACGACGACGACGAAGCTGCTCATCCAAGAAGACACTGGTCACCATCATCACCTGGGTCATCGTCAGCATCATCATTGAACAAACATCACCTTGGGAAAGTCATCATCATCAACAACAACAACATCATCAGCAGCAGCATGTCCTCCACAATCTTCCATTCCGTCCTAACATCGTCAGGGCGCTCACTACACCTGCAGGACAGCCCACATCAACTCAGACCCTGGCTGCCCGATGGGCCGTCGGCGAGCGACAGTAGCGCTTGAGAGGACGTGGCAGAGGAGCAGGTTAGCTGATCGGGTTTAGAGCTCAGTGGGCTGTGAGAATACTTCGAGTTGGGTGCTTCAGCGTGCTGGGGTTAGGGTTATATATGGCTCTTGAGATAGCGGCATCGCTGATCTAGTGTTTAGCGACACCTAGAACACCCTGCACACTACGCATCTGCACTGGACAAGACCTGCTGGAATGAGAGCCCTAAACCTTAAATCATCAACCTTGTTTTGACCCTAAACTTGCTCCAAACCTTGCAGGCTGAACCCGGGTTGCTGGTCACGGCCTTGCCTCGGACTCTCTTTCTGCAAAGGGTCTGTAAAATCGATGACAGCTGCTGGACTCAAAAGTAACTGTTGACAATCAGGGCTTAGGGTTTCTGGTTTACGGTAACTCAACACATGATAGACTCTCTTGCTCCAGTTCTCGTAGCT